TAATTTATTATATAAGGGAATGGATTAACTAAAATGTTAAGTCCTACTTATTCAAGTCAGGTAAGCTGAACAAGTTGAATGACTTATGGATGATTAATTTATACTGGATATGATGGTTACTAGATTTTATATATACAAGTATGGTGCCATGATATGAGCTTGAGTCTCAGGATTAGTGGTTAGGGCGTGTATATCGCCAGGGATGTGTAGTTAGATATAGTGTAGTTGTGTACCCTGGTAGGTCTAGGTACTCATGCCCACTATATGTGCGTTTTGCATGTTGCCTACTATTCAGGTTGAGACAACCCTATAATCTAGTGAGGTTCCTTTAGTGTGTGTGTATATATATATACGGACTACTAGTTACTGTTGGATTGACTAGGATGTATACGTGTATCGGATCTCTGCTTGAATTGTAGTAGAGTATAACTTGTTTATGGGCCTGACCCACCATTATTTTTCAGGTGTTCGTCAGGAGTAGAGGTTATTCGTGCTGAGCGAAGATTAGTTTACTTCATTCTTCTGATGTTACATAGGAGTTCCTTTATGATTCAGTTTCCTGATTTAGACAGCTATTGTTGTCATTTGTTTAGTTTGGATTTTTTAGGGGTCCACACAGTATGGATTCCCGAGTTGTATTTTGGAGAATCAGTTTTATCAGAAGAGTTTATTAACTAATGGAAATATATTATGAGGTTTATTTAAGATTATCATTTTAGTTTATTGTCAGCATTTTATTTATTCTTCTTTATTCTTTTGTACTCTATATTCGTTTATTATCAATTTGTTTTGATATCCTCAGGTATTCGGGCGTGGGCTTAGCCAACCCGCAATTGAAAATCCGGGGGTATCACAGATATGGGTTGAATAATAGTAGGGGTTGATGTATTTATAGAGGAAAAATGAAAGGTTTATATATATATATATATATATATATATATATATATATATATATATATATATATAAAATTATTTTTTAAAAAAATTCAAAAAATAGATTTTTGTGCCAATATAGCCGTTAAGGCACTGTTTGGGTCAGCCAACAGTGCCAAAAACGACTATCTGTCTGTAGGAATATTTTTAAAAAGTAAATTTTTTTTAAAAAATCACTTTTCTCTATTTTTTTAAAACTTTTTTTTGCCCAAAAAAGCCTTTAAGACACTATTTGTGTTAGCTAAATAGCGCCTTAAGGGCTCTTTGGTTCAATTATTTTGAGGAAAAAAAAAAAAGAAAAAAAAAAAGACCAAAAGAAGTCAAAATTCTGTTTTTTCGCTTTTTTTTTTTTTCTTCAGGCAAACATGCCCTTAGGAATAGTAATCTAGGCCAGAATAAAACAAAACTGATGCAGGCCCGCATGGCAGGCCGCGGCTTGCCAAGAGGGTCGTGGTTTTCAACTACCCATTCCGCCACCCATTGGGTGGGGCCCAATTTTTGCGATGCTATTGGAGGAGTCCAATAGCGAACTCCGGCCCAAAATCGCTGAATTTGAGACCATTGGACCTGTTCTAAAAAGGTAAAATTGTCATTTGATAAAATTTGGTCAAACAATTTTGCCTAAAGAAAACGCTAACTGGTGTCATAACTTTAGATGTAAAAAGTCAATAATGCTCTTATATTATAATGATATAATATATTATATAGAAAGGCAAAATTGTCATTTGATAAAATTTGTTCATTAGTTGTGTCAAAAAGAAATGCTACGTTGGTGTGCAGAAATGGAATGGAATGCAAGTGAGAATAGAATGAGAATGAAAATAAAATGGTCATTCTCATTCTATTATTTGATTGTAAATATAAAATGTGTAAGAATTGAATGATAATAACCATTTCAGTGTTTGGTTGGACCAATTTTAAATTTAGAATGGAATAAATTTCAAATTGAGTTCTCAAAAATATCTCTGTTTGTAAAAAATAAATTCAAATAACAAAATGACATTCTTCTATAATTTTTTAAAAATAAATGGTGGTAGTGGCGGTGGTGGAGATGGAATGGTAATGATGTTGGAAAGCGGCAACGGTGGCAATGGTGGAAGGCGGCGGTGTTGGTGAAAAACAACAGTGGTGGAAGGCGGTGGCAAGAGTGTTGGTGGTGGTGGTGGAAGGAGATAGTGGTGTAGGTGGCGGTGGTGGAAGCCAATGAAGGTGACTGTGGTGGTGGTGGAAGGTAATAGAGGTGGTGGTGGTGGAAAGCGGTAGCAGTAGTAGCGGTGGAAAGCGATGACGATGGCAGTGGTGGCGGTGGAAGGCGGTGACGGTAGCGGTGGTAATGGTGGAAGGCGATGAAAGGTGGTGGTCAAAGGCGGTGGTAATGATAGCGACGGTGGTGGTGAAAGATGGTGGCGGAAGGCGGTGACGGTGGCGGTGGTAATGGTGGAAGGCGGTAAAAGGTGGTGGTAATGACAACGATGGTGGTGGTGTAAGACAGTGGTAGCGGTGAAAGGCGATGACGGCAATGGTGGTGGAATGCAGTAAATATGGTGAAAAGCAGTAACGATGATGGTGGTGGCGGAAGGCGGCGGTGGTGTAAGACGGTAGTGAAGGCGGTGGTTGTAGTGAAAGACGATGGCGGCGGCGGCGGTGGAAGGTGGTGAAAGGTGATGTCGGTGGTGGTGGTGGAAGGCGGCAGCGGTGGCAATAGTAGCTGTGGTGAAAAGAGGTGGTGGTGGCGATGGTTGGGGCAAAGGAAAACAGTATTAGTGGTGAAAGGAGGTGGCGGTAGTGGAAAGCGGTGGGTGGTGGTGAAAGTCGGTAGCGGTGGTGGAAGGCGGTAGTAATGGTGGTGGTGGTGAAAGGTGGAGGTGGTTGTGGTGGAAGATGGTGGTGATTCTTAGATTTGGAACATGAGGGTTTTTTGAAAAGTTGATTTTTTAAAAAAATTTACTTAGGAATGAAATGACCATTTTAGAGGTTTAACTATAAAATGGATTTTCATTCAAATGGAATGGTCATTTCCACTTTAAATTGCATACCAAACAAATGGATAGTTGGAATGGGCATTCCATTTCATTCAATTCAATTCCTGCACACCAAATGCAACATAAAGGTGGTGTTGAGCACACGCACTGAAATTCAAAAGAGATCAAAGTAATAAATACTGGACGGATAATTTACCCAAACAGAGGGACGTCAATTAGCACATCCGAAAATAATCTGCCACAAGAAAATACTCTTTTTAACATACATTGCATTTGTATAATTGGTATCTAAATAAATAAATATTATTATTATTTTTCAAAAAAAGAGCGCAATATAACAAAATAACAACCTTCTTTTTTTCTTTGAATATATATATATATTAAAAGGCTAATACAAAATGTGATCCTTTAATTATTCTTTTTAGATGTTTATATTTAACAATATTGGTATGAGTAGTATCTTAAATGTTAGTAGCAGCTGCTGCTGCTGCTATATTCAGAACCAACAAAGATGGACGTAGGCTATTCACCATTACTATGAGTGCTACTAATACCTTAAATTACCTGTTGGGCTTGCGAAAGTCCAACACAAAATCCCATGTCTCTTAGTACCCAAATAGATGACCCTAGTAATTTGTGTTTATAATCCATATATATATATATGTATGTTTTTTCTGGGAAGTTTATAATCCATATATATATATATATATCTTGCTTGAATTTTTGAATGAAATAATTAATTATGATATTACAACATCCCAAATTAATCAAACATTTTTCTGTGCGAGTATACATGATTAATATAAATTATATTTATTTAATATAAATTAAGATGTCTGCAAACAATTTTTTGGGCAGGGATTAAACTCGTGATGTTGCATGTATATCTCAACTTCCTCGGCCTTGTCATTTTTTTTTTTTATGGAAAAATTTGAGATTTTGGATATTTATTCGTAGCCATCTTGACCAGTACCATATAAGTCTATAAGTGACAATTATTATATTATATAGCTTTATTATGAAAACAAATTATTTTTGGTACGTAAATAAGTATCAAAAACAATTGTCTGAAGAAGCGTGTTAGCATTCCTCATATATGATAATTGAATTAATTAATGCACCTTCATTCAGTATTCTTTCTTCGTGAAGGGATCAAAATATTTGGTTATATTGAATTGATGTTTTAAATTTAAAATTGAAAGAAATTTAGTTTAAAGTTTGAACTAATTTTTTTCGATCTTAAATTCAAGTCATTGATTTAATGCTCCTAAATATAAAATTTCAATTTTCATCACTTTATTTTTGCCATCAAGTGTCTAATTAATTCATCTTATCATGCATACTTATTTTGTTATAGCACTTGCACGCTTCATCAAAACACAACATTGCTTGGTAGTCAAATATCGTTATTTCAGACAATGTCATAAGATCAGGTGAATTCACAATAATTTAATTTATGTTCGGCTGCATGGATTTGGAATATTGGAATTGAAATTAGTGAAATTGAAAAAAAAAAAATTAATTCAATTTTGTTAGTTGCTTTCGGGATTAGCAGAATTGTTTCATATTAGTCATTGATTATAACTCATCATCGTGATTATTAGAGAGAGAAAATAAAGAAAAAAATATATATTGATGAGTACTTAAATCACTAGAGTCTTGTCAAATATGCGGTTAAATTGATGCATGTAATGCAGATAATTTCATTTATTTAGAGTTTCAAACCATTCTAGAATTCAAAATTTTTTGTTAATTGGTTGTCGTGAAATATTAACAAAGAAAAAAATATTAAAATTTAACAAAAATAGCTTATTAATCAATTTTTGATAAAAATATTTTACACACTCTGTCCAATGGATTCGACCTAAACATTTACCAAATATCAAAAAATAAAAATAAAAAATATATTTTACCTAAAAAATAAAAAAAAAAATTTGAAAAAATATTTTAAGTCGAAACAAATCGAGTTTAAGTTCTTCATGTCCCCAGGCCTTATTCGAACCAACTCAGTGTAAAACCCAAAAACTCTGGGCCTCTCATGAAGCCCAAATTTGAGTTTTGCTGTACGATTTTCTTATCCTCTCTCTGGTATAGTTAAACTACCAATGAGAGCAGTGTACTCTAAAGAGAGAGAGAGAGAGATGGATCAATCGGAAAAAGAATCAATCAGAGAGGCGTCCGAAGAGGTCTCCCGTGAATTCAAAACCCTAATCGATGCGGAGGAATTAGATTCTCTCAAGCAATTACAGCTCCTCATGTACTCTCTCTCTCTCTATATATATATATATTATGTATTTATATCTTGAATTGCATTTTATTGTTGAATAGAGGAATTGTAATTGAAACTAGGGATTTGATAAAGTATATAGGTTTGATTGCTTAGAATCGTTAAACTACGAAGGTTTTGTGTGAATCTGCAATCTGTATTTAGTTGTGTCCTTGCGCGTTGTATTACTGTGGTGTAAATTGCTATAGTCATGCTAGGGTTGATTCAAATGGTAACAAGACGTTGTCGTTTAGTAGTGCCTTGTTTTGTTGCTTGAACTTTGAATGCAATGTTTTTCATTATCTGGTACTCCATGAGCTAGTGGTGAACTTGTGCAATCCAAGTTTATCCAACTGCTAGGAAAGCTTTGAAAAGGAAAATATTGTTGCAATTGTAATTTTAAAGGGGAAAAAATGAATAGATGAATCTGTTGTCATGGAAATGAGAGAAACCCCAAAACTTAACAAAAAAGCGAGATCACGAAGAAAGTTCCTAGCATACAATGAATTAGCTCTGAAATGTATATGGTTTATATTTACTATCTCTTATAAGTTATATGTATTTGTTGAAATTTATTGGGTTCATTCGATAAAAGGACAATCTTTTTTCTTGTCTTTAGGCAGAAGCATCACAAAATGACACAAATAAGTTACACAAGTTATTTTGCTGGACATTGGCCAAATAAGTAGCTGGAAACTTCTTTTTCGGTTAAGTCCTGTTACTCTATTTACAGTTTGAGCATGAGCTGAAGAAGCCTTACAGCCTTTGTTTATGTCGATTTGTTGGCTTGATAGAATTTCAAATTTGAAGAGACCTATCTTCTATTTAATGTGACTCTATTAAAGAAAACATAGTAGTGAAGTTAGACTTGCTTTTAGCCTTTTAGGTGATGGCTGCCTTTCCCCGACCCATCCTCCAAAAAAAAAAAAGGGATACTCCCAATGGGCCAAATTGTAGAATTGTCTCCTTTATTTTGATTAAAAGGAACAGCAATCCATTCGATAATTGGGATTGCATTGCAAGATTTAAGGACCATTATTAGAGAAACCAAGTGTGGGATCCAAGTTGTGGAACATCTTCAAAGTTAGATTAGCTAAATAACCTCTTCTTATTATCTTTTGATGTACCTAATACTCAATTCCCTACCTTCCTACACCTCAGATCCAGACAAGACTTTTTCATTGTGCTTCTCATAACCTTCGATCTTCTTATTTTCCCCATTCATTCAGCTAATACCCCATCTTTCCCTCCTGTCTCCCAATTAAGCATCCAATATGGTACCTACACAAGAAAAAACCTTCGTATGCTTGTTTATCTGGCTCATATGTGAATCTCTTATCGTCATCATAACAGCCTTTAGAAATAGTATCGTCAAGGTCAAGCTGTCTATTCGAGGCCCAGTCACTTTGGGTGATTCTTAAACGCTATTCCTAGGTGTAAAATACCTGTATTTATTACTAAGCATGTGGATCTGTACCTTATATAATGCTTATTGTTGATCTATGGCAAAAGAATTTAGCACCTCAAATATTTAATGTGCATAAATTACAGAATTTTCGGATTATATCTTAATCTATTTGTCCTCAGTGTATACCTGTAGTATAGATTTTTAAAAGTAAGAGTACATGGGCTGAAACATGCTTACCAATTGTCTTTTCTGTGGCTAATTGCACTTTCTTCTTCATGGTTTTAAATATCAGTCATTACTTAATAATTTCTTCAAGAGGTGAACCAGGTACAGCCAACGTACTGGTCCTACAAAAAGTCATTACCCTAACTGTCGTTACAATATTGTAATGGACCGTGATGGGTGTTATAGTACTGTAACAACAGTTTCAGTGAGTTTTGCACCACTTCTGTCTAGCTTTTTTATTTTTTCAGAATTTCAACTCCTAAACCTACCCTAAACATATTCTAATACAAGATTCACTCTCTAAAGCTTAGATCTTTAATCAAGAACTTAGGACACTTTGTTTAGTTTTTTTTTTTTTTTTGATAAGTATTTTAATTTTTCCTATTTCCACTCGACTTATTTTTTATTTTACTACAAATCGTTGGTAATCAGTTGTTGTGATCGACTGGTAAAGGCCATAGTGAACATTGCTGTAAGGTTCTGTTTTGAAATTTGAAAGAGAAAGGAAAGAGCTTATATAAAGTAAGAGAAAGATTTAGTTTTATAGATGTAACTTGATTGTTAATTGTTGGGGAAATTTTAAAAGTGAAAATTACTACTATAATCTAGGGTGTTTGCTACTGTTTTTCTTGTACTTTTTTTATTGTGAGCCAAATTGCAGATTGGGAAGGTTGCAGGACAGCAATGCGGTTCTTTCACATTTTAACGAGTACTCAGAGAATTGCTTTGAAGAGGTTTCAAGTGATTTCTCTAAAAACACACGTCTCTTACAGTCTATGAAGTCAGACCTTGATTACATATTTCAGAAGCTGAGGTATCACTTCTTATAGTTTCCTTCATCATTATTGTAGCAGAGTACTTGATTACAAATTTAGTGCTGCTTGATTAAACGGTTGCCTGCCGTGATGGTTGGATGATAATTGGTCTCGAAGTAGTTTCAAGATATATGCATGTGTTCGTTGTTGTTGACTTTGTGCAGTCTTGAAAGTTTGTTAGTAGCTTCTGAGCTTGGTCCATAAATTGCATTTACTGTCACTCCTTCTCTTCCCCCATGACGAATTCCACCAATTGTTTCTCATTTTAGATTTTGATTCATTTTTGTGATTTGATTTTTTTTTTTTTTAACTCAGGAGCCTAAAGATGAAGATTTTGGCGACCTATCCAGATGCATTTCCAGATGGTTCAACAATAGAAGCACTCGACAGAAGACCGGATCTTGAAATACCCCAATGAGCCTAGTTACTAAACATCTCAAAAAGTACCTATGCTACTCTTCCCATGGGGAGGGAGGGGGATTTGAAGAAAGATTCTATGTTAGTTGTAGATTCACATGGAAAGTTTCATGGTAGAGTCTTGCTGTAATTGTAATAGTAATAATTTAAATAAAAATCTTTCAAGACTATTGTGGCAACAGGGTTAGCAGTTTCTTTTCTTGATTGAAGCACATTGCAAAAACTGGAAAAAAAAAAAAAAAAAAAGGGCTTACCCTGTACCTAAATCTTCAAATACCAAACTCTATAATTTCAATTTTAAGGATTTTTTAGGCTATGTTGCCCGCTACCGTGCTCTCTATTTTTCACTATGTACCCAGACAAAATTTCAAACTTCATGGATCAGGACGATTATGATACATTACAATAAATGATAGAAGTTTAGTAAGTATAACTTTTCACCTAAATAATACATGTTTACTGAATCTCAACATCTCTCTACAACACTCCATATTTTCTTATTATTATTTCTAGTCTTCTATATTATTCAAATGAAAATATATATGAAGAGAAATAGTATACATGTTGAATTTTTTAAACATAAAATATATATATATGTATTATATTATTTCTAGTCTTTTGGCTGTGGACTTAACCCAGTACAATTGACCAATAATAATGAATATTAAGAAAAGAATCTACTAGCAACCCACAACCCTAATATTAAAAACTGATACAAGAGAATTGAAGATAAAAATCTTAGGTACTAAAAACAACAAAACATAGAAACAAACCACCTTTGTTATCTAGTTTCCTTGTCAACAAGACATAAATATTTGTCTGCCAAAAAACGAATATATATATATATATATATATATATATATATATTAGCATTCTACCCAACCTAGTGAAAGATAAATCTAAAATTATAACATTAATAAAGACAAATACATTCTCAGCAAGTGATTATTACGTAGTGCAAAAGTAAAAGCTTCAACAAACAAACATGAGTGAGAGCAATAAATCTGTACAAGTGGGACCAGCACTACGCCCAAAAAAAAAAAAACCAAAGAGCGACTGTCACAACTGCACTAACTGAGAACTTGATCACAGTACACAAATTGCTGATGGGTGTTTCAACCAAGTGCCACAATCCATTCAACAAAGCTATTGATGATTGTTTGTTAACATTACAAGCATCATTTGGACCACCAACCCCGATTCAGAAATTAGATCTTACCAACTAGCCAGATTCAGAAACTAAATCTTACTCCCGAGTTCGGAATATACTTGCATCACTGCCTAGATTATCATATTCACCGACAAAATTTCAAAAACTTCTTCAATATGCAAAATGAGGCAGTTCAAATTCTTCTTCAACATGCATAATAAGCCAAATATGACTGTTTTCTCAAGAGTAGCCAGGGATTTCCCCCGGCATTGGAGCCAACTCATTCTTATTGAACTTCTCTTCCTCATAGAAAGAAGCATGAACCACCCTACCCCCAAAAAAGCGACCTTCGAGGTCAATAAGCGCTTTAGTTGTCTCCTCTGCTCTCTCAAACTGCACAAAAATTCTAACTGCCTCCTCAGCTGGAAAATTTGGCTCCGTTATCTCAAATATGAGGACCCGAGTCACAGTTCCGTACTTGGCACACTCTGATCCTACCTCCTCTTCTAGGTCATCATCTACCTCACCAGGGCCCACCTTCAAGGGAAAAGCACAACCAGTACTGTTAGTCACCAATTCTCATGTTCCTTTCCTTCGAATGAAAGTCACAAACATGAAGAATTAAGACAAGAAACAATGCCAAGAATATGACATTGAAACTTGCCACCAGAAACACAGGCTAAAACAGATTCGTGATTACATCATTATATTTTCCAGGGAAAATAAAATAAGATACAAAGCAAAGGAAATAAAAAATAAATAAAAATGCAAAACTAATATTACATTTATAATCACACCTCATATGGAATTGGAGTACAAATGCCAACACTGAACTCTACAGAAAACATAAAAACTCTTTTCTTTTTTTTTTTGGCGTGGGGGAAGAAATATGCAACAGCCATCAATGGCTGAAATTGGTAGAAAGACCCAATTAGAGCATCTAAGTATACAAAGCAAGCTTCTCCATATTCATCAATGCAAAGTATTCTAAAAGAACTTTTTAGTGTATAGAAGAACATATGCACACAAACATACATATATATACACACACGCATCAAGCTTCAGACCCACCACATTGGCCAAAGAGAGCATAAAGCAGTAGTTATCACCAGAAAGGAACGGGGAAGTGGTAAGCAAAAACACAGAAAGGAAATCATCTAGTTAAACTGTTTGTTCATGTCTAAAATGCAAATGGTGGTGCATTCCATACTATTGCAGATTAAATATTCTGCAAATTAACATTGCCCAAGCTTTAGTGATATGGCATATGCATTAGAATAGTGATCGGTAAAGACCGGAAAATCAGAGGAAATGCCAGCCTCAAGGGTATGAAAATTCTAGGAAAGAGAACACATCATTAGAAACACCAGGAAACCGGCTATATGACTTCACTCAGGGGCTTCCTCTTCCTTTAATTTGCTAAAATTAGTTATCAGAAGAAATCACTAACTGAGGATTGCAATTTCAACAAATGGAGTGTATTTTTTGAAATACACAAAATGGCCAAGATTTTAAATTCTCAGGAATAATTTGCTCAACAAATATCCATATGCTTCATTCACCATCTATGTAATTAAAAAAAGACACGCCGAATTAAAAAAATGGAGGTGGCATACATGCAAAATGCCGTAAAGAAATGCCAGCATGTATCAGTAATGCACTAGATAAATGAAGGCCATACCTGATATCATCACATCCAGGACAATGCATCACAAAAATAGCTCCTAAATCCTTGTTTCATTATTCATAACCCTCAATGGAGCTAAGCAACATAATACAGATGGACTATTAATAGCTGATGACTTCCTAACAAGACACTAATCCCTCAAAACATGGTGGGGCATGAACCATGGTGATGAGAAGTGCAGCCCATGCCAGATTTTAGCCATTATTTTCAATAATTTCCAGCAAGTGTAAACCATATAATTTGGGGGCTTGCTCGAAAATTTCATAACTAATTTTGACATATAAAACACATGGATGGACGATTAGCACCTGGGTACGATATGGAAAGAAAACGATATAATGAAGGTTTTAAACACAAGTGCACAATGTTGTCTGTTTTTTTAGTTCCAAGTCTCCCGCAGATTAATAAATGCATCTTAAATTCCAGATCACACTTCAAGACTTCAAGTAATCAAATTATGTACATTTTATAACAATAGAACAGACTTCCAGTTCAAATTTTACTTTAATCAACTACTGGTAGAGAAACTCTAACTTTGGAATTTAAGCAATGATCCACAGCTTAGTTCTAAAATCAATATAAAGCGTCAAAATTTTAAAACACTTCAACATGCTCAATTTTTCTAGTCAAAGTTGCAAGCTGCTGTTCAAATTGTTATATAACTCAAACAGAAACCACCTACTCATCCACAAATCCCCGCCAAATGATCAAGACAATTAAGCAATATCAAGGCAATAAAAACAAAAGTAAATCTAATTTACAAATTTTCACAAATATATTTGGCAAGCACCAGAAAATTGGAGGGAGGAATAACTCAATGCAAGTCATTTCATGCATATAATTAACTTTAACAATGAAAACCAGGAACCTGAATAGAAACTTGTTGAAAATGAAAAATAGAAAAAGGACCTTCTATTTGGCGGCCCAACCAAGTATCTCACACCATAAACTTGGCTGTTGCTAAGACACACGTAAGCAACTGCCTTGGTGTGACAAACTACCAAGGCCAATTATAGGTGCTATGTAGCTCATCTAGGCCAATGACAGCCTAGAAGTTGCTTTGGCAGTGCTACCTTGACCATTATTTTGAAAATCTAGGCGAGGTTTCAATAACAATAACCAAAAATCATGAAACATTCTCGCTCCACGAGATTCACTCTTCAGCTTGTGATTGATATCATCTTCTAGTTGTCCAAGCTTCTGATTGTGTGAATGAATCGTCGTGAACACTTTGATGCACTAGGATTGTAGATGATCAAAGCCACCAATCACCATCTAGATGATATGACGATAAATGAAAAAAATAAAATTCTAGCAATTTTAATTGCTGAGATGCACTCACAATGCTTGCAAGATGCCTCTTAATGCTTGGTGTATTTTTCTGAATATATTTATGGTCTCCATATAGACTTTTGAGGATGAAAGTATTAGGGTTTTAAGAGTTTAAAACCTCTTTTGAAACTGCCATATGCACAGTTCAGTTGATCCAAGATCAAGGTCGATCAATCAAACATCCTGCAATTTGGATTTTCCAAATTTTTTATCCAAAACAGTTTTTTATGCACCCAATACTACTTTTAAAGATGAATCAAAATATGGTTATGACGAACCCAAAACATGAATCAAAATAAGAATGTATGATCATAAAACCCCTAATTTGGTGAGTGCACAACTGAGAGTTGAATTTACCTTTATATCCTTACCGAATCTTTGAGATTTCGAGAAAACCTTTGATTGAGGTAAGTCAACTAACTAAAAAAACTTTTGAAATATATAAACCAACTAAAATAAAAAATAAAAACTCTGTTTTGTACAAAAATTTTAAATAAAAGTCCTATTGACATAACATTAAGTTCCACCTATTTACCCAAAAAAAAAAAATTAAGTTCCACCTGTCACTACTTATTGAACAAGGTAAGGTCTGATACCTTTACATGTAAAACTAATAACAAAATGGCATTTTAAATTGATCATATCCAAAACAAAGTGTATAAGAAATTTTTATGCTTTCAAACTCCTGCTTGGCTACCATGAATAGATTACTTAATAAGATGCTTAGAACTATACACTGAATTGACAAGACAAGTACGGCAGTTACTGGTAACCTAGGAGGAGGAGGAGGAGGAGGAATTGAGTTTGTGTTGTTAATACTAGCTTTTACAAAAGTACAACTTCTTGAGAGCTCCCCATGGATTTAGGAGTAGCAACATGTGCAAAGCGAAGAGATGTGATGAGCTTTACCAGTTATAAATGAACAAATAGAAAAGTGTTAAAGTCCTCACTGTCCTCTTAGCTTCATCATTGTAAGTTATTAGACGTTTATATTTTTCCAAGGCATATGATTAATGTTCACCAACAAAAGCCTCCTTCCTCGGGCAATATAAATTTCAATCTTAAATTCTTGATAGTTCCCACAAAAGAATCAAAGCAATATTGGGATCGGGAAAATTCTTCCAGTGCGTTTAGGTGGAGGAGATTGAAGAGGAACGAAAGCAGATGGAGGAATTGAAATGCTTATACAATTGTCTGGAAGTTTAAGTAGGAATGGGAAGGAAACTAGTTAATGAGAAAACGAGAGTTCTTTATTACTCCTAGCCAACTATACTTGTCCTCTCAAAAGTGTGCGCATTTAGAAGAAAGGAAAGGAAAGGAAAGGAAAGGAAAGTCAGTGGCTGATTGTTTTGCTCCCTTGTCACTTTCTTTTTCGTTCCATTTTAGAAATGTTCTGGCCTTTCCTACTAGAGAAAAATAATTTCCTTCTTTTCCCTCAATAATTAAAACAAGTAAAGAAGAATTTACTCCTTTCCTCTCTTTTCCCTCCCTCAACATCCAATCAAGGGAAGGGTTATAACTTCTCCATTCTCTTTGACACTGTATCATTGGGGCAATGCCTAATTACCTATATTTATTCCATGCATATTGGTGCATATTGGTTGGGAAGATGCAACTAAAGTAACATGTTTTATCCTTAAGTCTCATGATTTCATAGACCTTCGATGGTCAAAATGAGGCATGCAAAGCCTTTGGAAGCCTTGGAACCAAATGAGATAAAATAATTAGTTGGCCTCTCTGTTAGCCTTTTCATTGCCCTCATCATCGGCCTTTGCAGTTCATATTCAATGTTATTTTTCGGTCGTTTTGGTGTGGATGGTTCACAATGTTCTCACCTTATTTAGTATTAGTCTTACCTACTCTTTCATTAGACAAAGTTCTCATTCTCTTCTAAGTAAATTCTGCTAAGAAATTGAGTGTTTTTGTTATGGGACTTCAAAATTTTGTAATACATTAATTTGGAAATATAACCAGTTTACTGCATTTACATGGGAAACAAAAACAAAGGGTAAGAAAGAAACCAGAACCATTTAGTTGTAGTAACAACATTCTATACAATCAACAAATTATGCCTATCAAATCCTTTATTACAAAAATGGGATATTGAATATCGAAAAGGCATTCAAATAGCTCAAAGGCAGGAACTGACTTGGCAAGTTTAATAGAAAAATCAGTATCATGCATACCATGTTTCTGAGCAGCATAACCCGAGTTGGAGGACCATTGAAGTTCACACTCTTCACCTTCTTCTCAGGCTTAGACTCACTCGCATTGACAATAACACCTGCTCTTCTATCAGTCTTCTTGGCCATCAACGGGGTCGTGATCCCCTGTTCCTTCTTTCCAAGCCCTTGCCCTTCCTTCCACCCCATTTTGGCCATCATTCTTTGTGCAGCAGTCATCTGCCCACCTGCACCAACGCCCAACCCACCCGACTCGGACTTCCCTATACTGAAACCATCTCCACTTGATGGCGGAGACGGCGACCTTGGCACCGCCCCGCTCATCGCCGCACGCCTTCTCCATGCTTCTTCACCGGAGATATTCAGCCTCGCATCCCCATGATCCCTCTCTCTTTCTTTCTCCGCCACCTCCCTCTCTCTCCTCTCCCTCTCCCTCTCCCTTTCCCTCTCCCTCTCCCTCTCCTCCTCCTCCTGCCGCCTCCTCTCCAATGCCCTCTTCATCTCCGCCTCCACTGCCTTCTTCTTCCTCTCTATCCTATAGTCCTCATAATCATTAGGCCTCGCCGGGTCATATTCCTCAAAAACCGTCGATTGGACCCCGACGAGTGCCGGTTGAAAAGCTGGGCTCCTCGCCCCGTCATCGGCCACCACCGTCGTTACCGTTGCAACCGACGGAACAACAGTCTTTGGCTGCGCTGAAATTAGGGTCTTGGGCTTGTTTTGAGATTTCAAAATCGTTTGGGCCGGCGCAAAGGACGACGCCGGTTTGCGCAGAGTTGCTGGCGCCATTTTGGCGCTGCTCGACCACACATTGGACGAATTGGTGGTTCTTTCTTCATCTGTGGATGAAGGTGGAGGGAGATCTCCGTATAATCCACCAAGCATTGGTTCAGTGAGCTTCAAAACCGTGTAATTGAATCTGTGATTGAAAGCTGAGGAAAAGCAAAAATGGAATTTGAATTTTGGAAAGATCGGCGATGAGCTTCGCGATTGAAAGTTTTGTGATTCGGAGTTATTAGGGTTTGAATTTGTGCAAGTTTATATTGGGGAGAGTTTGATTACAATATTAGGGTTTAGTTTTTCGGAATATGATCGAAGCAGAGTGTTTTGTTAGTCAAGTCAAGATAGATAAAGTATGTATTCAATTTGATATTTTCTAATATATATATATATATATATATATATTTTTTTGGTAAATTGATATTTTGATATTTTCTAATTTGAGCTTAACTATGAAATGAATGATAGAACTTGGTTGTCTCAGATTGAGCTTGGAATTTAATTTTTAAATTTTTGGTTTGAGCTTAGGTTCAACCCTCAAAATAACAGAGTTGCACCTCTTATTTTGTATCAAAAAATTGAATGAAAAAAAGATTAATGTCATCTCCTGTGAGTTTTTTTTTTTAATTAACTTAATAATGTTATATATAATATATATATATATACATATTTGTGGACTTAATTAGTATTTAAAAATACATAAGAAGAGATTTATTTTTTTGAGATTTGAATAACAAAAAATGAATCAGATTGTTTATATAATATTTTTTTTAGATGCATAGAGTTTAAGTTTGGACAATTCACCAGAAGCATTAACTCACTGGCTATCAAGACATCTGCATATTGTTTATATAGTACACTTCGGGTTTTAATTTAAGTGTGGACAAATTTTTTTTAAAACTCAAAATTTTCTTTAATATTTTTTTTTAGAGGAATTTTTTCTTTTCTTTTTTTTTTTTTTTCGCCAATTAAATTTTTTCATAAGATGTACAAGAATTAGGGTATATCCGTATTTTTTTCATAAGATGTATAAGCATTTTTGGTAAGACCACGAGCTCAATACAGTAGCTATAGTTTTTTGTTTTTTTTCAAGGCTATAGTTTCAGATTAGGTTACTATTGTGGATAAAGGAATTATAAAAATTGAGGGTGAATGTATAAAAAAAAAAAAGTTATTAATTCTCAAATATTATTACTGTATACCAATCATAATTAAAGCAAAAGAGAGTTGAAAGAAAAGGTTGGCCACAATTTGAATAATACAAATATATATAATAAGAGTTAAACTTCGGATTTGTGTTAGGCTTGAGTTGCTAATGTATCAACCTCAAGTCCCATCGACAAACTTGTAAACTTTTAATCGTCTTAAATTGATCAATTGATCGTAAAATTTCATAATTAATAATGTCATTTTTTTAATCTTAAATTGATTATGGTCAGAGGGGGCAATTATTTTTTTTGAAATCCCGACTTCGTCCCTAGATATAGATATATATATATATATATGATAAAGTGTAAAAAAATCCCTTAAACTATTACCCCTTTTTAAATAACTCTCTGAACTAAAAACTGTATCCCTGAACTATTGATTTGTTGCAATTAAGGTCAAACTCATCACAAAAAACTTTTTTACCCTTTCTTATTAAAATTTTCATTTCTTATTAAATTATTTTTATTATATTTTCTCTTATGTAAATATTAATTAAACTATTTACCTTAATTTTATTATAGTATCAATTTATCATAAAAATGAAAAAAAAAAAGAAAAAAAAAACAAATAGATTTGTGACTACCATTTTCTAAATTGATTAACTTATTATTAAAACTTTATTATTTGTAATAAAGCTTATTATAACCAATTTAAACATTTTTATCGTAAAAAAATATCTTTTTTTTCATACAATATATATTGATGAAAAATTAATAAAATACTTTTAAAAAAATACCTTCTTTTCATGTAATATATTCATTAAAAATCAATTATTTAAATAAAAAAAAAATTATACTAAATTTTTTTATTTAAAGAATTAATTTCAAAATTTTAAGGTTAAGTTATGCAAATTTAATGGATAATATGTAATCAAATAAGTATGAATTTTTTTTATAATTTATTTAAATAAGAAAATATATTAAATGTAATTCAATAAAAAGGGCATTATGGTCATTTAATGAAATATAGTATAGGCATTGGGGTATGTTGCAACAAAATGTGATAGTTTAGGGAGTTTTATGCACAAAATATAGTTCATAGGGTATTTGCAAATTCAAACATAGTTCAGGGGAGTTTTTTACACTTTACCCATATATATATAGATATATACTCGTATTACTATTTCGTATTACTATTCATTTCAATAATAAAAATATACAAATAATAAGAAAGTATAGACTGTTATAGAGAGATTATAGGAGTTTGGAATATTAAAGAGATCTCGAATATTAAAGAAGATTGTAGAAGAATATTCATTTCAATAATAAAAATATATAAATAATCAAGAAGTATGAATTGTTATAGAGATATTATAGGATTTCAGAATATTAAAGAGTTCATGGATTGAAGAAGATTGTAGAAGAATATTCATTTCAATAATAAAATATTTAAATAATAAGAAACTATTGACTATAGGATTCCGGAATATTAAAGAGTTCATGGATTATAGAAGAATATTCATTTCAATAATAAAAATATATAAATAATAAGGAAATATAGACTGTTGTTGAGAGATTATAGGATTCCCGAATATTAAAGTGTTCGTGGATCGAAGAAGGGTGTAAAATAATATTAATTTCAATAATAAAAATATATAAATAATATGGAAGTATAAATTGTTATAGAGAGATTATAGAATTATGGAATATTAAGGAGTTTGTGATTGAAGAATATTGTAGAAAAATATAGATTTTATAAATACCTATATATTTAAGTAGAAAGTTCTGATTACTAAATTTTAATTATGGATTATAATACATCTTAACCCTCTATCAACAAGGATGATATCTATATATATACACATGTAGGTTAACATTTGAGAAATTTTAAGAGTGAGTGGAGTGGATGAAACAAATAAAAGATTTTAAGGGTGAGTGAGTGAAACAATTCAAACACTAAGTTTGGTAATTGAATAAAAGTTTGTAGGCACATGAGTAATTCCATACTTCAATTGTTTGTCGTACACCAAACAGAAAAAGTATGAATTGTGACAATGTATTTAGAAATGGTATCTCACTTTTGCTTTTATAGATGGTTTGATGTAAAAATGATCCAAAGTTAGTATTACAATTTTGATCTCATAGCTTGCTGGGGGCAAACAGAGGATGCAAATGATGATTAATTCATCATCAAGTTTAATATGATTGCAAAGCTTTACTTCATATTATATTAAAGAATAAAATATGGTATTAGTTCTTCATGTTTGGAATCATGTTTAACTCATCCCTGGTCATTACTCTTTCGATCATTTTTATATTCTGAACTTCCCACAAATATGTTTATGGCATAAGATAATAAACAAATCTCTTAGAGCATCTTCAATTCACCTATCATATGCCAATTCAAAATATAGCAAGTGGGTTAAAATTGAGCCCTCCAATGGACTGCTATATCACCTGTCAAAATTTGTCTTTGCCATTTTAGGTACCAAATCTAACAAAACAAATAGCAATAGCTATTTGCGTTTTGTTGCCTGCCGTGTCTCTCTCTCTGTGTGCCAAAATCGACCGTCTCTCTCTCGCTTTGCCAAAATCTGCAACAACCGTCTCTCTCTCTCATCCATCTGCAACGACTGGCCATTATTGATCTTTTGAACAATCTGAAATGATACACCAATATGGGTTTTGATATAGGTAATAGGTTTTGAACTTTGGATTCTTGTAGACAGATAGATAAACTGAAATATATGGGTTTTGAACTTCTGATTCTTGTAGATTTTGTAGTTTGCAGTTACAGAGAGAGAGAGATAGGGCAAGTTCTCAAAGTTGAGAACGAGAATAGAGATAGAGGCGAATGGGGAGGCTGAAATGATTTGCCCTAAAAATATCTATATTTTTAATAATAATATAATCAAATATATATAATATATATAAATTTCTGAAAAAGAAAAAAAAAATGATATATAAAAATTAATTCACAAATAATGGTAAAAAAATTATAATTTTTTTTTTTTTTTGGTCCTTTTTTAACCAGATATATTAGATTTTTGCTTATTTTTAATTAGGTTTAATTTTAATTTTCTTCTAATGTCTATAACTTGACTTGGAATGTGCCTAATACTCATATTAATATTATTGATGCCAATATGAATGGTGGAAATGGTAGTTGAAAAAAAAGGGTGATTGTGTCAAAAAATAACATTTTGAATGAAATGCACCATTGGAGTAGAATTGCTAAAATGTAACATTTTAACACTGTAACACATCTCAAAATATAGATTTGGCATGCGAAAATGACTTTTAGCATTGGAGATGCTCTTAGGTATAAATTCTACATCTTCATAAAGAAGCGTGACGCAAGCAACTTTCGTCAACAACCACTTATCGAAGTAGCAAATATTGGCCTTTCATGTCCTTCATTATCACAAACATTCCCCATTTACAAAACGTCAACAAAAATCATCTTCCATGTCCATTCATGATCCATCATGGTCTTATTTGAACTACCAAATTAGTAGGTAATTGCTACTAGCAAGCTTAAAATTGCAAAGAATGATGAAAGGAAAACACATGCTTTTATTGGGCGAGTTGGGATTCTACAACTAATGTACTGTATTCAACGTATCATTGCTCATACAATTGCGTGTCTCCACATGTGTAAAGTACGTTAAGCAATGAATATTTTAAAAGAAAAATTATATATATATATATATATATATATATATATATATATATATTATGTTGTTATATATAATTAAAATAAATCACTGACATAAACTTTGAAATTTAAAATCTGATACAATTTTATTTATCTTTGGCAAAAGAGTAAAAAAAACCTCTAAACTATACCATTATTGCATAATGCCCCTGAACTATACCATTGTTACAAAATACCCCCTTATAGGCCACCGGAGGCTAATTTTTTTGCCAACAGAGGGACACAATTACTAATATACCCTTACTTGATAATTTATTATAAAAGATATAAAATATCATGGGTACAAAATATCAATAATGCCCTCATATTTTTTATATATTTTTCTTCATCTTCCATGTTGTCGATGATTGTTCAGTGTGGCGCACTTGCGCAATTTCTTCGTCCCCCTCAACGGCGGTGGTGAGATCGGAGTTAGCTTCGAAACTTGGGCATCTGAGGTGAGAGGTATGGGCAGATGAGTTTCATGAGACGGTGATGACTAGTGAGAGCTCGTGAAGAAGCCATTGATAGAGCTTCCGAGTGATTTCGGTAATCGTCTAGTGACCACACAGTCATCTTCTCACTCAACGGAGACCTGGAAACCTCTATTGACAGCAACCCACCTCTCTTAAACCATTGGGTTACTAACAACCCTTACCACATCGGCGACGAAAAACAATCAACGGCGCGTTGAAAAACTGTGTGGTAACAAAGTTTGATGGCAACGTTGACCGCTTTAATCAACTGATTAATCTCATTTTCGATGTCGGATCAAGGCATCTTGTGAATGTCCTCGATGCCGAGCTTCGATAACCCTAACATCGACAAGCTCTCCTCCAAAACTCTCTCTGGCAAGTACTGTACTCGTGTGAGCACTCCTTTCCGAATCCTGTAGCCACCGTCCGCTTCGCGATCTCGTGCAAATCGTTTATCATCCCCGACAAGCTGCCTCGCTCCATCAACGATTTGAACTTGTCCTCAAGCTGAAACATTACCTGCTAGAGTGGATCGTCGGCGCGATCGAGACAGGCGGTGAGGGGCTTATCAGAGGCCATGGGAGTCGAGTCACGAATGGCGGCGAACAATTCGTCGACGGTGTCGGTCAGTTGTGGCGGCAATGGTGCAGTAACTGAAGTTGTATGTATTACTGTATTCATGGGCGGAGCTTTTAATGGGCTAACCTGGGTTATAGCCCAGGTTCAATTTTTTTATTTATAAATATTAGTACTATTATTGTTATCAGCTTAGTCCATATGTAATCAATTTTTAGTACTACTCTTTCCTTTTCTGATAGCCTAATCCATAGTACTACTCTTCCTCTTCCTATTAACCCAATCCGTATGTGATATGTAATCAATTTTTACTACTCTTCAGCCACTTCCTCTCAACACGTGGTGCTATTTTTCTTCATAGGGTTTGGCCTGTTTGGGGGTCTAGCACGGAAATTGCAGAGACTTGAGAGGAGGTCCAATTTCTCATCTTTTTGAACAAATATATATAAAAAAATCAGTAAAGAGAATACGCAAAAGAAGAAGAATCTCATTGAGATCAGGAAACTCTATTTACAATGATTTTTAATTTTTATCCCTTGAAAAACTTAATTTGATATATGAGAACTTCGTCGTTTTTTGGTCTATTTTTGAATATATATAACATGTCTTTATCATAAGAATTATTGTGTTCATTTTCAAATTTTCTTATTATCTTTAGCCCCCTACTTTGCAATCCTGGCTCCGCCCCTGACTGTATTAGTTTGATTTTGTAATCATACATATTGAATTTCAATTGACTTTGCATTTTAGTGGTTATGGTTGGTTTTGAGTGAATTTTTCTGTGTGGTGTTGGTTGGTAATCCTTTTATTCAACAATACTACCGTATACTGCACCAGTCTCAGTAGTGGTGTTGCCAGCAGCCTCGTTTGGGAAGATGAAGAAAAAAAATCATAAAAGGGCATTATTGAATTTTACATCTAGATATTTTTTATATTTTATAATAAATTAATAAGTAAGGGTAAATTTAATAATTGTGTCCTTCTGTTGGCCGAAAATTAGCTTCCGTGACCTTTAAAGGGAAATTATGCAACAATGGTATACTTTAGGATTTTTTTTTGCTCTTTTACCTTTATCTTTAGGTGTAGGTATCAAATTTTACTTATAAAATGAGACTTGAAAAATTACCTATTACATTCTTGTGAGTTCAGTTAAAACTTTAATTATATAGATTGCCCATTTGGTACTTGATACAAAAGGGACAAATTTGTATCTATCATCTTCCTTGTACCACTTTGATGAAAGTTTTGAGTTTAAAAAGTGTTCTAAAAATAAATATATGTCCACATTTAAATTAAAACCCAAGGTGTACAATTAATTTAAATGTGGACATATATTATTAACGAAAAATGAATTTATAAAACTATATATTAAACAATTAATTCTCAAAAATAAATATACAATAAATTATAATTTAAGCAAAAAAAAGTTAAAAGAAAAAATTGGTCACCATTTGAAATATACATATATACTTAGGATAAATTATTCTGACCTCCTTTAAAATTTATCCAAATTACTGCGGATTAAACTATTTGAAAAATCATTCTAACACTCCCCTTCAGAGTTAATCCCATTTGTTCTCTTTAGTTGTACCTATGAAAGTACTATTTTGCCCTCAATTGTAATAAATAAAATTACTTTACACATTTGATGTCATCAAATAAATAAATAAAATTGCTTTTTACCCTTATAACCCTAAAAGCCTCTTAATATCTCCTCCAGCCAACCAATGACCATCGTTTTCTTTTATCAATCGTCAGGTTCACTCTTCAGAACCTCTCTCAGAGAAACTTGTGTTCAATCCTCAGTCAATGATCAGAACCCCTCTGAGATAAGAGTTAAAAGTTGAGTTTGTGTAAGGCTTAGAGTTACTAATGTCTCAAACCCAAACTCAACCCTAGTTTAGTTAGGGTTAAAAATTTTCAATCCAAATCATGCTAATTGCAAAAATATTGTCTAAGTCCATGAAATATTCAAATTGAGATGGGTTTTGATTCGATTGGCTCATTCAAATTGCATCCCTACGGAAAATAAATAAATTGTACTAATTTGCAAAATTTGACAAATGGTAACCAATTTGGTTGTTGATGGGTGGTTATTTGCAATGTGAGAAAGTTACACCGGAGTTTTTTAATCCATTTTGCCCAATTTTAAACAAAAATTACTTTGCCTGACCAAACCTCTTAAGATTCCTATCAATTGGGCTTTGAAACAGCCCATTCTAACACCATAAACTGACAGAAATGTCCAAGCCTATAAATATTGGGCTGATAGCTGCTCAATCAGACAACACAAACTTTGAACTTTCTACGTCAAAGCCCATAAAATTGGGCTGGGGCGGTCGGCCCAGGCCTTGCAACACTCTTCCTTTCCTACTGCTAGAGAAACCATAACCTTAAACCCTAATCACCTCAAACCCCAGCACCTACGCTCTCTATCTCTCTCTCTAAAAAGCTAATAATCTCACACCTAGCAACTCCCCACTCTCTGTATAAGCACACACAGATGCACACAGATATATAAATATATATTGCAGTATTCAAATCTGAATTCTCTAGCTCAATCATGAAGAACAAAAACATCAAGAAGAAGAAATCCTCAGCTCTGAAGGGAACGAACAAGGGCACTAAAAGGTTTGCAATCAACCAAGACCCGTTTTTTGACACCGAACCCAAACGCAGAAGAACATTTGAAGACGATGAGGATATAGAGAGCAGTGCCGAAGGTTCCGAAGATTTTGATGACGAAAAACCTTATGGCGGAGAAGACAGTGCGGCGGAGGAGTCGGGAGAGGAAGAGACTGCGGCGGAGAAGAGGAAGAAGGTGGCGGAGGCGTATTTGGAGAAGATAAGAGCAATAGCGAAGAGGGAGAAGGAGGAAGAAGATGAAGAGAGAGAGAGTGGTGAGGAGGGGGAGAGAGAAGGTGAGAGGGACTCGCTGGTGGCGCAGATTTTGCAGCAAGAGCAACTCGAGGATAGCGGACGAGTTCGGAGGTCGATTGCTCTAAGGTATTGTCCTTTTTCAAAGCGAAATTGAATGAAATTGAATGCAATTTGTGGGTTGTGAGAACAGAAACACAAAGTGTGATTGCTTTACACAGGCAATATAAATGCCTGTAAATGCTAACCAAGCAATACCTTGAATTTTGTATTATTCAACTAATATTTTCTGTTTTTTTTTTTTTTTTTTTTTTTTTTTTTTTTTTTTTTTTTTTTTTTGGGTTGGGAATAAGAAGTGATTGATTCTAACAGCAAATGCTTGAGTTTGACATCATTTCGTTAACAATTCAGTATGATATTGCCAATGTTCCATAACTTATTTCTCCTGAACCCCTATGGATAAAGCCCATTCAACCATTTCCAATTGTAGTTTATCTAAAACATGTTTTTACTGGTTAGTTACTAAGGCCATTACCGGGTGCTGGTCTGCTTAAACAAGTGGTTGGGTTATTTTTTATTTTTTTATTTTTTTATTTTTGGGTTGTTGCACAAAATGGTTGCTCTTACAAGTGTACATCCTGGCTGCAACAATGCACCAAGTTATGGCATTGGTTCCTGTAAACAAAATTTTTAGAATTCAGCCCAGTCAATGTTCTGTTTCCTCTCTCCCTCTTTCTCTCTCTCTCACTTCAAAAGCAAACACAAACACAAGTTTCTAGGTTAGTTTGGTTTGTGCAGTTTTGCAATTATACCTGTATATATTTGATTTATTCTCATTTTTGGAAAACTCTGTTTATCTATGCTAAAAACACTCTATTTAGATCTCAATATAATTTATTTTGTTGTAATTATTACTCCGTATAATTTTTTTTTTTTGGGTACATTATATTGTGAGAACATATTTCCATGCTTGAATGTGCTTTTGTAAGGACCATATTTTGTTTTTGTTTTTACCCTTGGATACTTATCAATTTAGGGTTCAAAAGCCAGAAGCTACTGATGGCTTTCGGGTATTAGGGAAGCATCGACAGTCAGTTACAGCCGTAGCTCTATCAGAGGATGACTTCAAGGGTTTTTCAGCTTCAAAGGATGGAACTATTGTTCACTGGGATGTAGATCATGGGAAAGGAGAAAAATACACATGGCCTAGTGAGGAAGTACTGAAGTCTCACGGTGCAAAGGATCCACAAGGTCGAGCTAAAAAACACAGTAAACATGTTCTTACCTTGGCTGTTAGCTCTGATGGTCGTTATTTGGCAACTGGAGGCTTAGATCGTCATGTTCATTTATGGGATATCCGTACGCGAGAGCATATTCAGGTAAATGCAAACCAATTTGTCAGTGCTGGAATATATGCAAGTCATTTCTGAAGTAAATAGTTTGAAATATTGGGTTTCAAATTAACAACATAAAATTTGGTAACCAAAGGACTTGTAGCCCAATGGTATAATCTCCCCATCTTCAAAGAGGAGGAAAGGGGTTCGAGCCTGGGTGTGGGCAGAAGAACTTTTTATGGAATGGTGTGATCTCTCTGTCCACAAGGACATTTCATTGTCAGAGTATTGCCTGTGCTGCACCTGTAGTGCTTGAGATTCATGATTTGGCATCCTTGTATATCTGTTTGGTTGTATCATATTATCCAGGCAGTACTCTTACGTAGATGAAACAATCGACATTTTCTTTAACTGAAAGTGCTTAATTGGTATTAGGTTCTTTGCAATTTTTCAATGAGTCAACTTTGCATAGATGAATTTTTAAGAAAACCCTTAAAAAGTGGATCTCTTGAACATAAGGCGCAACTACAGAGCTATCGATAGATCCTTCTTGATTATTTCCTTATGTTTTTTAGTTCCTATTCTAACTTGCCATAAATGTGATTTACAGGCTTTTCAAGGTCATAAGGGACCTGTGTCATGTTTAACTTTCAGGCAAGGAACTTCAGAACTGTTCTCTGGTTCATTTGATCGAACAATAAAGATATGGAATGCAGAAGACAGAGCTTACATAAACACATTATTTGGTCACCAAAATGAAGTGTTAACTATTGATTGTTTGAGGAAAGAGCGAGTGTTGACTGTTGGTCGAGATCGAACTATGCACTTGTGGAAGGTAAGCTGCAATTTTATTTTTCAAGGTACACTTATTGGTGTCCTTTAAAAGAAACGGCAACGGCAACCACTTGTGGTTGTTATTGTCTTTGTTGTTGGTATAGTTTATTCGAGTTCACTGGCACTATTTATGGTGACAATTAAGAGGTATTATTTTTAATTTGGTATTGTAAATGCACTGCTTCCTCTAACTGCTTATAGGCAAAGTGATGGGTAAACCGTCATGAGATTGCCCCCTTCTCCACTAAATCAAGGCTCTCGTTTGATATTTGAAATGTGGATCACCTAGAAGGGAAGTTCTTACAAACTATCATTATAATTGTTGCTTAATGTGTAGTAGTGTACCCTTCTTCTTTTTACTCCCATTTTTTCCCCCGTCTTTTCAGTCTTCAAGTCATACAGTGGAGGTATCCATTCCAAGTAGTCATGGTCCATCTTGCCTTTAATGTAGGCATGATTATGTACTCTAAGTCGTCGTTACAACCGTGATTCGAAGCCGCGGACCCAGTGCAATGAACTCGGGGCCGTATAGGGCTTAAATTTCAGAATCGATTATCATGATTGTGAAATTTTCTCAATCTTGCACATCATGAGATGTGCTGACTTGGCTGATTCCCAAGGGACTTGGCCGAGACTCGTGTGATTATTATTCTAACCTATATATCAGTATGAATTGGACTTGGACTCAGCCGAGTTTGTTATGACATGACTTGGCTGATTCGTAGAACTATGGTACAGCCACCCCGAGACTTGGCCGGTAAGCTAGTGTCACTTAGAGATTGCTCTGATTGTTTTAACGCATTTTCCTTGTTCTAGTGCCCAACTCGCCAATATTTCTTTTTAGTGGGACATCAAGGCGAAATCCTTTTTACACTTGTATGGGCTCTCGAGATTCTTACTTCTAATAGATATCGGACTTCACGTGTACAATATCTGATGTACATATAGGTTTTTTCTTTTATTAGTGACATGCTAAAGGTTGATTGTTTTGCCCTTTCTCGCAATTAATATATAATTTTTGAAGAATATAAGCTTGTATATTCTTCTTAATAATGGCTTATTTACTACAGGTATTTACTTTTCTATTTGGTAAAATAGGTCCCTGAGGAGTCGCAGTTAATATTTCGTGCTCCAGCATCATCTCTCGAGTGTTGCTGTTTTATCAGTAATGATGAATTCTTATCAGGCTCCGATGATGGAAGTATTGAGCATTGGAGCGTTCTACGAAAGAAGCCTGTTCACATCGTTAAAAATGCTCATACTTTGTTGACTTCTCAGAATTTGGAACAAAGAGATAATGAAGGATTATCAAATGGACACAGAGGTAAAATTGAAAAAAATTATAATCTTACTGCTCGAAGGTTGCACTTCATATTGATGTTATAATACTCTCACTTACAACTTGCTGCACAAGCTTAACTTTTTGTCTCTATTATAAGTTACCTTTTGGTATTTAAATGTTGATGAGCATTATTTTTTATTGCAAGAGATACAAGCAAACTCGAAAAGATTAGTCTTCCATATAGCATTAGATTAGAGATAGTTCCTATATTATCAATGCCTCTCTGTGCGTGCTCAGGTGCATGTGCAATGAAGTTTTACATCATCTTTATTATAATGGTCAAATACTGTTCTGATGAAATGCTTTGTTCACCCTTGCAGAAAGTGGCATTAGTCCTGAAACCTCTTGTTCATCAGCATACTCGTGGGTTAGTTCCATTACTGTATGTAGAAACAGTGATATTGCTGCGTCAGGGGCTGGTAGTGGTTCTATTCGTCTATGGGCAATTGAAAATGAGTCCAAAGGCATCCGGCCTTTATTTGAGCTTCCAATGGTAAGCTTTATCAATTTTGAATTATTTGCTGATGTTTAACGAATGCATTAAACATGATCATATGATATCATTGCTCCTAGTTTTTCATATTGGAAACATTTCCCACTAGAAACTCTATTTTTGTGTTGTGAAGTGTCTAATTAATAAATTTCTCTGAAAAGACACATTAATCTGATCTGTAAAAGAAGAAAATAACTCTATTCCATAAGGAGATGAAATTAGCTTCCATATTTAGCCTGCAAGAAATCTTTAGCGAGTTTCAGAATTTTTTGTAAATCCATGTTCTATTAATAGACATCCCACAAGTTGTCTTCTCAGGTTATTGAATACTAAAACATTAGCTGAGTTCATAAGCCTGGTTATGTTCTATAACTACTGGAAAATCTCCCTTGCTCTGATCTGTATATTCTGAGTTGAATTTGCCCTTATTTATTCTATGCTCAATTGCTCATGGTCATAAAATCCTGAGTTCAAAAGAAGTGACAGCCAATTGAGCCTTTAGGAGCTTATGGTAGTCACTGTAACTGTGTGGTAAAAGGAGTCCGTTGTACGATCGCCAATACATAAGGGCAGTATGACATAAAGATTAACAGATCGCTCTTAAATTAGATTGGTGTCTATTTAGATCTGTTAGCGTGTAGTTTATGTGGAAACTAGATATATGCTGGTGATACGTGGACCTAGAGGCTAAGTTGGACAAACCATATTATTGTAAAGACATCGCTCTATTTCATCCAGCATGCAAGCTTTCGCATGGTCATGTTGGTCCATTCTGATAGCAATATTTTTTTTACTTTTACCTACCCCTCTGACTAGTTATGTGGACTCTTCTATTTCCCTTACATACCGGTGTCGACATGACACAACATTGGTGTGGATATTGGTACGTATCTGACACATGAACCTAAATCAGATATCTTGATCATTCACACGGCATGATTTTTTTTTTGATAAGTAAGATTTTATTAAAAACGCTCAAAAGGGGAGCGAAGCCTATAGAAACAAAAGGAAAACAAAAGGGCCAAAGGGCGCCTTAGACCTTCAGAGAGGCCAAGAAAACAATAATTTCCTCTATAGATCTATAATCTCTCCCTGAAACCCAACAAAAAAGAGTAGAAATAACAGAGAACTTAAGCATAGAAACAGGCTTCTTTTTTCCGTCAAAATATCTCCTATTTCTCTCAAGCCAAATACACCACCGGATACAAATCGGCGTAGCCCTCCAAGCGTCCCTAATGCCAGCCCCAACAGAGACGCTTCTCCAAGCCTTAATCAACCCTCTAGAGGAAAAAGGCATGGCCCAATGGACCCCAAATAATCGAAGCATCAAATCCCAACAATCTTTGGCCATGCTGCAATGTAAAAGGAGGTGATCAACAGATTCCTCATTACATAAACACATGTAACAGTGATTGACCACCACCTGATTCCTCCTCCTCAGATTATCCTAGGTTAAAATCTTACCCAGAACAGAAGTTCAAGCAAAAAAGGCGACCTTGCGGGGAGCCTTGGACCGCCAAATAGACTTCCAAGGGAATGGATCTCCATGACCAACCGAAAGACATCTGAAAAAGGACCTAACCTCAAAACGGCCATACGAGTTAGGAATCCGAAACCACCAATCCGATTCCCCAAAAGAAATCACTTGGCTATACAACAGCTCCAGAAAACGAGAAACATCCTCGATCTCCCAATCCTGAAAATGCCTCTTGAACTGAACATCCCAAGACATAACAGTCAACAACCATAGCCTGTCGATGAGAAGCAATCCTGTAGAGCCATGGGAACACTAGAGCAAGAGGGAGTTCCCCACACCAGAGATCCTTCCAAAAACTAATCCTCCTTCCATCTTTAATACGAAAACGAACATGCTTGCAGAAGTCATCCCAACCTCTCCGAATGAAATGCCAAACTCCCACCCCCCTTGGACCACGCATCACCAGAAAGCACCACCCACCACGACTTTCCCCATATTTGCTAGCAATAACTTTCCTTCATAACCAATGCCTCTCGATCCCAAACCTCCATAGCCATTTACCAAGGAGAGCCTTATTAAAAGGCAACAACCTCTGAAACCCTAAGCCTCCAAACCGAATTGGACGGCACACTTGATCCCACCGAACCAAGTGAAACTTGAACTTTTCTCCTTTCCCTCCCCAAAGAAAATTGCACTGTAATCTATCAATTCTCTCAGCCACTGAAGAAGGAATCTGAAACAGAGATAAGAAGTATGTAGGAAGGCTAGAAAGGGTGCTCTTAATCAGGGTAACCCGACCCCCCTTGGACAGGTACTGCTTTTTCCAACCCGCCAACCTCCTCTCGACTCTGTCCACAACCAGATCCCAGCTCCCCACGCATCTCGAAGGGGCACCCAAAGGCAATCCTAAATAAGAAATGGGAAAAGAGCCAGTGCAACAACCAAGGATCTGAGCCAACAACTCAATTTCCGGAACATCCCCAACAGGCACAAGAAGACTCTTACCAACATTAACCTTAAGGCCAGACACAACTTGAAACCAAATCAGAACGCATCTCAAAAACCTCAGCTGGGACGCTTCTGCATCACAAAAGACAATAGTGTCATTTGCAAACATCAAATGAGAAACCTCCAATTGACTAGCAGCATCCCTACCCACCCGAAAGCCTCTCAAAGAACCCAACTCCACAGCCCTCTTCAGCAATTTGCTAAGAGCTTCCATCACAAAAAGGAACAGGAAAGGGGAAAGCGGATCCCCTTATCTCAAGCCCCTCGAGTTAGAGAAGAAACCCGTCGGCACTCCATTCACAAGGACAGAGAAATGAGCGCTAGAGATGCAAAAAAGAATCCATCTCCTCCACCGCCCACCAAAACCCATCCTCTCTAATAGGTAGAGAAGGAAACTCCAGCTCACATGATCGTATGCCTTTTCAATATCCAGCTTGCAAAGAACACCCGGAGCACTGCTGCTCAAGCGGGAATCAACACATTCACTAGCAATAAGAACTGAATCCAAGATCTGCCGACCTCCCACAAATGCATTCTAAGAGTCAGAAATGATACCATCCATCACCTTCTTCAACCTAGAGGTCAAGACTTTCGCAATCAGCTTGTAAAAACAGCCAAACTAATAGGGCGGAAGTCTCTAACATCCATAGCCTCTCCCTTCTTCGGAATAAGAGCAATAAAAGTTGCATTCACATGGCATGATTGAAGAAGAAAAAAATCAAATCTAATAGCTGAGATGAGTTATGAAAATCCTTTTCTTTTACCACATACCATTTAATTGAGTATCCTCTTATAAAACAACAACATTAGGCATTAACTATAATAGAACATTTAAGTGCATTTGAATGTGTTGTCTCTGTGAAGCCATATCCAACTTTTGGACAAATATTCCCGTATCCTAAGATTAGGGCTTGAAGAGGCCCAACACTTGGACACATACACCAACTTTGGAGTTTGGACACGTATCCCTATATCCTAAGATTGGGATTTGAAGAGGTCCAACACTTGGACAGAACACCTGCACCCAATACACTTACCCGATAACATAGAATTTGTGACTGTGATGAGCCTCGCACTGATATTAGTTTACATGATAAAAGTAGTTGTACTGATGAATGCAAAATTAATATTTTTGCCGATTTCTTCCGTTATGGTGGGTAACAGAATTTCATTGAAAAACGCATCAAGTCAGTCAGATCCATTAGTACCCTCATGGGAAAAGTGGTTCTTAATAGGTTCGTTACAACAAAAGATTGATAAAAACAAATCGAATTGATAACTCTAGCTGTTATTCTGTAGAGTTTAGTTATAAATTTTTGGCAAGAAGTTTTTTTTATCGTCTCATGAGGAATGGGTTATAAATTTTTGGCAATAAGTTTGTTGTCATCACACGAGGAATGAGATGGATAAAAAGGTTACCCTTTCATATTGACTTTTGTTTCAAATATTTGTTTGGTGTGCAGTGAGCAGTGGGTTAACCAATGAGAATGTCCCTGCATAAATACCACTGCTATGTACTTATCAAAAAATAAATAAGTAATACTAGTGCTATGGTACAATTGTGTTCTGGCTTGGTGTCTTGTCCTCAGAATTCAGAGTAAGGCATTTTTGTACTCTCGAATATGAAAAACTTGGACCCTGTGATCTGCGAAAATTTTCCTTTTTCCTGTTGTGAATGGTGTGAATAGATTTTTGTTTCACCATTTAAATGGATGTAAGATTGATTGTGTCAATGTCTATGTGAATATGGTTTTAATGCTTCCTGAATTTTCTTGAACCACAGGTTGGATTTGTAAATTCATTGGCTTTTGCAAAATCTGGACAGTTCCTGGTTGCTGGAGTTGGGAAGGTGAAGTGGTTTTCCATCTTTTTCTTTTTCTTTTCTTTTATCATGTCATTTAAAAAATATATATATTTCAGTCTTTACAATGACAAATATTATTTCCATTGTTTTCATATTTCAGTCTTTATAATGACAAAAATATAATTTCCATTTTTTTCATGTTTAAATTTGCTGTATAAAATTTCAATATGCATGTAACTCGAAATTGGATGATATTCGAAACTGTGGCATCACAAATCAAAGGTTGAATCAAATTGAAATTTATTTATAAATTTAATAGAATATTGACTACATCATTAACTATAATAGAAGAATAGTTGATTGTTTGGAGTGTCACCATTCCAGTCTTAAGCTTTGAAAGAGAAAAAGTGAAAGAGAGATGTTGAATCAAAAGATACAGACTTATTTGTATACTTGAGTACTTAGGATTGCACAAGGGTAACAGGCTAACCCACAGGCTAACCTCTAATCTGCCTTGATGAATTCATCTAGGTTTTAGATACCTTAAAGAAGCTAGTAAAATGAGTAATCTCTCCTCGCTAACGACAGATCTGAACTAAGAGATGATGTAGAATTGGACGGAAGGTACAGTTGAATTGGAGGACATGTGGATGGTATGTTATACAAGCCTGACATGAAAAGGGATGTGTATGGGTTGATATGCTCATTGTCTTATCCAGAACCTTGCAGCCTCACCATCCAAGTTCCTGAAGAGCCTTTCGAGAACCTTGTCTAAGCCCTAGGGCTAGTTTCATATTTATTACTTGTAAATCCTTGTATCTTACACTTAAAATGCTTGGTCTAAGTACCTTCACGTTGAGAAATAATTAGCCAATTTCTAAGAGCCTTCTTTATAAACTTTTTAATTTGCAACTATTTTTTGATGTGATAGTGCCATTGTTCTAACATTGTAAGTATTACCTTTGGCACAGGAACCACGTCTAGGAAGGTGGGGATGTCTACCTGCTGCTCAAAACGGAATTGCAATACACTCCTTGAAGCTCTCATGAAATTGGGCAGAAAAAATGCTCTTCAATTTTGACTGACCAGAATTGAACTCCCATCGGAAAAGAATTTAGCATCTGTGCATTTTTGTTGTCTCTGTGGATTCATCAACAACAATTTAGCATCTGTGCATTTTTGTTGTCTCTGTGGATTCATCAACAACGGCAGTATAATTGGCCCTCCTGAGTTTTTCTTTATTTTTGTTTTGTTTTGCTCGTCTTTTAATTCGGCCCAAGTAACGAGGGAATACATGTGGAGAAGCTGATAGCTCCTGTGGTAGAAATTTTCTTAGTCACTTGGACACGGTTTCGGGTCTTGCGCAGGTGAATTGTACTGCTGAGTTTGTTCAGTATTAACCCTACATTAATATGAAAGCCTTGAGAGAATTCCTTTTTCTTGTTTTGATACCATGAAAAACAAAGGGTATTTAGTATGGAAACAACTCTACGAGGAATAAGTATTTAATTTACATAGTACGGAGTATTATTCTTTTATTTTTTGCTTATTTCTATATATTTGGAGTAAATTTTAAATTTAATACCAGATGGCGGTATTATCTTGTCATTCTATCCTTTCAATTGTACTTAATCTTAATCTGCAGGCTTATGGAGCCTAAAATGTTTAGGACCGGATCTGTAAAACTCTTTCTTTAGCTTTTGGACTAATTCTGATTAGTTTCTCTTATTTTTCATTAATAGGAAAAAGAAATTTGATATTGCTCCATATATATGTCCATTACATTTTTATATTTATATGTACGTGGATTGCAATTCTTTTCGGATCCAAACATTTCGAAGTTGTATTTCAACAGAAAACCTAATCCGAGTGCTTCAGTTGTCATCCATGCCCACATACCATATCATGGATATTCCTTCTCCTTAAGGTAGAGAATGGTGCACAAAGTGTGATCAAACATGTGCTGTTTAGTACTGTGAAGAATTTTTTATTTGGAATGATTAAAAAATTGTACTGGAAAGGATTTTTGATTTGGAATGTAGGATGACATCTTTAAAATTCACTTGCCAAATAACAGCTTTAGATGCACAACAATGCCTAAAATGAGGCTACTAGAGAACCTCAAGAGCATAATACAAGGTCAAAAGGCTTTTTCATTGTGAACTAATAGATGTAACAAAAAAATAAAAAAAAACATAGAAATTGTATCACAATTCTCAACGGATGACCGATTCAAATATAACAGAATACCAAAAAATAAATAAAAAAAAATCAAGTAGACATCGACACGACACAAGGATGCTTCTTACAGCTCCAAAGGTTAACAGCAGCAGATGGATTGCTTAGTGCAAGGTGATGCTCGCTAGACGATCCAATGTTTTTCATAAACAATGTTACCATGGCATTGGAAACTATTGGCGACCAACGAGTTGGGGTTGCAAGTAATGAAATGCATATATAACCTCAATAATATGAAGTGTTACTAAATAACGTTTTCCAGTGTAGTATGCCTTTGATACCCAGTATAAAACCCAGAAATGCTTAAGCTGAGATGTGGCATGATAATCTGAAACAAATCTAACCTTCGACATGAGACATGATTTTACAGAAACTCGAACTCTTGTCATCAAGCATTTACCATTCCACCTAGTATTAGTAAATAAAACATGAGTATCCCTCAAATATCATACTCGATAATACTCGATATCTTTCAGTGGCATGTTTCAGTCCTCTTCCCCATTACTTAGAAAAAGTGAACTACTAAGCTAAATTAAAACATGAACAAGACACAAGTAACTATGATTCTTTCCATAGACGAGTCTTGACTCTTGATAGTAAACAAAGAAGCAAAATTAAGAAAATTCATTGAGCTTCGAATCTACCCTCCGAAAGATATAATGCATGACGTCAAAATCTGCAACGATCAGTCAACATTTATTGAAAGAAACAACTGAAAATATTAAGTACTCCGTAATTCTTTTGGAAACAAATTTCTGTAATAGACAGTTTACATCCATGGAAAAGGAACAATATATAATATTAACAGGATCTTATCAAAATACACAGCATGCGCACATAATTTGCGAATTTGTGATTCACATAGCACGAGAGGCCAAAAAAGAAATTAAAAATAGCAGTCTCACCTCCCAACCTGAAGAATCACTTACAAGAGAAGCTTGAAATGCGAACCAGCCGTCAGAGAGACAGAGCACTTGGTTAACCCGAGGAGAGAAGAATCTTCAGCACTTCAGCTCTATTTGACAAGAGAGCCCCATTATCATACAGAAGGTTCTAAATAAGTTGTAGGCCAGCCAATCAAATGTTGCAGTTCCAGAGATTATGTTCCCTCCAGATCAATGGCGCTCGTATTGAGTTCGCCCCATTAAGCTGACCTCGAAGATTTAAATTTGCAACATTGTCATGTTCTGCAGCTCCACAAGAGACTTCTGTTACAACAAAATTCTACACCTCATTAGAAGTACCTATGTCACAGTTTGAATTTCTATCTCCTGATTCTGAATGTTGGGAAGGATTTGAACCCGAACCCTTGTCTGTTGGTTCTGGTGGTCCCCCGGCATCAGTTTTGTTATTATCAACCAACGCATCAGTGGACAATGGAGAAGGATCAGCTCCATTTGGGTCAATACCGTCAGCCCGATCTTCAACTTCCACTTGAAGCTCACCGTTTGGTAAAACTGGAAGTATATCTGCATCAGACCGCTTAATGGAATCTGATGTTTCTCTCCATTCAACCCATTCAGCTGGTGCATCACTACCACTGGCTCCTGTTTCTCTCGCGTCCTCCGACAAATTATCATATGCAGAATCTTCTGAACCTGGCTTTGCTTCAGGCACTTGAGTTGTTGCAGTGTCAGCTAAATCATCATCTTCACCAACAATCACATCATCACTGCTACCACCACGGATAGTACCAGTCCCCTCGGTTTTAGGTGATGGGGAAGCAACCAAGCCTCTTGACCGCTCGTCGATCATTTTGTCATCCCCAAAAGCAAACCAGTTGGAATTTGTAAATAGAGAACCACTGAAGATATGAGATGCAGACCGAAAACATTAATAAGCAGTATCATGTATATAAGGGATCATAAGCACATTCTCAAAGCATGAGGAGATGGGACATGTAAGTGGGTTTCATCTTCACGTGAATTGCTATTTAAGCACAGTTGAAATCAGTTTCATAACATTTCCTAGGCCTCATGTCCCAACTTATCAAAGAGGCAGGCAAGTTAAGAAGACTGACACATGTATATAGACATGTTGAGAGGCCAATAAAATATAATATATATTAATATAGACAAGATAAATGTTACTTCATAATGACTAAATCTAATATTTTATGGCTAGATGAAATTTATAACAATAATTTTCACAATTATAATCAGCCTAGTCATACAGAGTAAATATCTTTCTTTCTTAATTGGGTTAAACTTTTATGAATTCTATATAAATCCTTTTATTTTCATTTTTTATAAATAAATTCTATATAAATCTTTAATTTGATTGTTCCTTGCAATTATATATATATATATATATATATATATATATATATATCATGCTAGAATATCTTATTCAATCTACAAAGTTCATTCCAAACATGTTAGTGACTGTCCAAGACGTGTTGGCCATGTGTCCAAAATAAATAACTTACATGTATGTGTGTGTGAGTATACCACGGAAACCACTCCCCTTTAGTAGTGTTGGTACTTCTTATAAGTTAAAAAATAATAATAATAAATAAATAATATAAAATATAAAAAAAAAAAAAAAAATTCACAAGAAAGTCCAACAATTCCTACAATTGTCCGACTTGCACAAGGATTTCCACCCAAGTGATATTGTGGATCCAGACAGGCGCACTATTTTTACATCATAAGATCATATGATCCAGATTGAGATTTTGACATCCATGACAGTACACAGGACATAATCAAATGTCTGAATCGTCATTTACAATTTGGCAGGCATAACAAAATAGCTCCGCACCATTAAACATATACCAACCTCTTAAGATAACCACGCAGGATTCAAGCCTATAGACATGCAAACAATGTATGCACAGCCTTCCCTATCCTTTCAATCGATGGATTCCCATAAACGGAGACTAACTCCGAGCAAAGCTCCAATGCAACAAGATGCAATTTTCCTTCTAGTATAACCAATATATTAAGAATATTTAACAAGACCCTCAACCTACCTTTCCTGTTCATCTCCCAGGCGGAGAGAAGATATGACAACTTCAGCAGATTCATCATCAAAGTAGACATCCTGCGCACGTAGAAGTGAAGATGGCACACAAACTCAGGCAAGAGTTGAACCCAATTATCATAAAACCACAAGTAGTTAATATCTTAGAACAATACAAGTAAACCAACACAAATATCAAGCGTTATGATCTGCTGAACGATTATCAATATAAATTTCTTTCTATGTACCACTATCAAAAGTACCCCACCAGGACCTCCTCTAGCCATGATAACTACTATTATATTTTCTTTTTCTTATTCCTAATAAAAGAACACTACTATCTACTACTCAATAGTCTTCGAAGGTGACTCAAAAATCATTTCAGATGCATCAGGAGATGAACATTGTCAAATTTGCTCCAAGTTGATTGCAGCAAACAGGAATAAAACAAAAGTCTTCTTGCAGGAGTATGATAGACTAGAACCACTCCAAACACCATTGGAGCCAAGATTTCTGAATGAAAATCTGGGAAAAGCCTGAAGAATTTTTTATGAACTAATAATATCTCATATTGATTAAGTTGAGTAGAATCAATTTTTGAAGGTGTCAAAAAGTTGAGGTCTTGAGCTCAGAAATAAGCCTGGTATAAAGACCCAGATAAAAAGAGATTAGAAGTAAAATTTAATAAAAGCTCTCTCTCTGATCTTACCAGTGCACCAAGCAATAGTCCTTTTTCCCAGTTTTCCCTTTACTCACTGCTAATTCAAAGGCTTGAAAATCTGTTTTCACACCAACCCTCCCATATATCCTCCTCTTCTCCTCTATCCTGTTCGCTTGTAATCAAAAGGCTAAGAAGATTATGCTAACCATGCACACTCTATCTCCTTTTTTCTTATAACAACCATATCCTCTACTCTCCATAAAAAAGTCAACAATGTTTTTGAGTATTATTCTCAAGGGCCCTGATTATGTTGGATTCTATATCAGAGTCAAAGATGCATTAACATTGTTAGGATCACGCCAACACCTCTCAATTTTCAAGAATCACGGTACTTGTGGTCAAATTAATGCCTCTAACGTCAAGGCCCTTCAATCAAGACAAACCCACCATACTTACAAGTCTGAGGAGTGAGAACATGACATGACTCACGCTTAGTTTAGTAGTTTGGTTCATATTAGGATCTATTATTCAACATTGTTTTATTTTTTTTTAATACTCTCTCTCAATACATATAAATATACATATTGAAGAAACTAGCACAGGTTTCATAATCAGAAACCTAAATGTTTTCTCAACATACCATATATTATTAGATATTATCATTATTAACACATTAATTGATTCTCTCTAAGAGGGTCACAATAGAATTCGTCATACAAGGCAAAGTCAAAGTACCTCATCATCTCGTTCAAGTGAGCCATGAGCCTGTACGGAGCAACAAAGAATGTATGAATTTGATGTGTAAACCAAGATACAAGCATTATTCATAATAAATATTAATTCAAAACACAAGGAGGACATATTAATACAATGCTTATGCTAGACTTGCAAATTAATTACAACAGAGGAATCAAAATAAGAAATCTGTCCATTGCATAATTACATGATTGCCGGTAGCCTGCTAGTTATGGTGTGATATGACCAGTTAGACACTTTGTGAATATATTCTTAAAAATAATACCAAACTATCAGTAATGCTTAAAACATAAATTCTTGTTGCCAACAATTTTTTATGTATAAATGAAATTTTATTAGGAAAGAAAGGACCAAGGACGAAGTCCATGCAAACATGAAATATACAAGGCCTCGGCCCAAAATAATAATAAAAACTAAAATTAAAAAGTAATAATAATAAATAAATAAATAATCAGCAAGGGAACCATCAACATCTAGGGCATGAAATGGAACGCATCTAGAGCCAATCTATGAAAATCCGAGTCCATAACCATATTTTAACAAGAGTCCAAGTCCATATCTGAGTTCGAGTCTGACCATACGAATGAAATACACATCCAACCAATGAATAGTTTGACAAATCTAAATCCAATAAAATGGATCTCACATTGGATTTGAATTTGGGCCAAGATCATCATATACAATCTACATATGTAAAATGTCTAATCTGGTACAATATATGTTACAGATTGTACCATACGTTACAGACACACATATTTATGAAAAGTCGACCAAGTTGATCTTGCTAACCTTTTAAAAGAAACTAGAAGTAACTAAAGCCGAATACACTAGGAAGAAGATGGAAATTATCACTTCACCAAAATTCTTCAGTATCAAAAGAAAAAAGAAAAAAGCTGAAGACTGGCCTAGGAAAGTACAAGGTTGGATGCTAATTTGAGCAGTTCGGCTCATGGTTTTATGATGCATGATAGGAGGAGCAAGCAATGTCACACTAGAGATGTCGTAATAACATTTTGGACCACGAGAAATGCAGTGTGGGCCATTGATAGCAATGTACATATTTAAAAAGGCAGTTGAATTGAGGAAAAATTAAAAATTATTACGGAATATGAAGCCAAAGAATTTTCCAGTTACCATATATATATATATATATTAACTATCCATATGAATCTTTTGAGTATACACCAAATCCAATCCAGATGCGCAATGTTTGCAGTAGAAGGGCATATCAGACCCGTTTCTAATACAGATTTATTGTTGTGATCCAAATCCAAAAACATGGATCTCTGACCAGGTTAGATTTCAGGTCAACCAGAACCGTTTCAAGCCCTATCAACACCTACTCACTCTCTAGTCCTCCAAAGAAAAAGCGGCTTTATCAAAAGACTTCAACTTTCTAATTGATATCTCCACAGCTTCAAAATTAATTCAATTATTTATCTTCAATATTAATACAATTACCTTCCTCGCATATACACTGATTTTTATCACACTTTTTTCAAAAGAAGAACCAGGCAGAATATAATGGAAATGTCGTATAGTTAGCAGATCTGGCTTTCATAGATCATTCTTAATAGTTCCAAAAGGGGCTCCATGGGTAGCACGAACTTCAAAGCAGATCATTCATAGGAACAAATCACCATTATATTGTAACTTCTGGCTCTCTAATGCATCTCTGCAATATTAAAACTAAATATGGTATCAAGAAGAAGGATTTTGTGCATAAAGCATTTGTCAACCGGCAGCACCAGATATAAACAGAAGGAAGGAAACATTTGCATATTTATAGTTTGGAATTTTAGCTTGGAACCATACAGACATCTTTCTCTTTCATCCCACTATAATAAAAATATTCCATCTTTGTGAAACCCAAGTGCATCCAGTTTTTTATTTTCATGGACTTCTACTTCAACTCCAAACAGATATATAGGTTATCACAGATTCACAATAAATCCATCTAATATCTTTCCTTTGCTTCTACATTGAAAAAAAAAAAAAAAAAAAAAAAAGTGGCTTACACAGCATCAAAAAGGGGACCATGGCTTCAGAAAAGCATTTTCTCAATCAGGCTGATGATGAAATAATTGAATTCTTTTTCAGTAAGGGCGCGTTTAGTAACGTTTTCGTTTAATGTTTTTGCAGTCTTAAGAAAGCAGAAACATGATTTTGTTTTCTTGAGTGAAAATTGAAAACAGAAATGATGTTTATTAACACTTGTTGTTGCCACAAATTTGAAAACATAAAACAATAATTGTGTTTAGTAATACAACATATTTGTTACAAAATGTACATAATATTCTTTAAATTTTTTATTTTATTTTTTTCATTTCTATTTTATTTTTTTCATGGCAAGAATTTTAGGAGTTAGTGATTAGAGGGGAGGGTAGATGACTTGAACACGAACACTCGGACACAGGGAGCAACCCAACCACTCAGGCACGACACTTGCTTCTATTAATATCAAAAAACCATAAATCTAGAAAATTTAATTTAAAATTATAAATCTGAAAAATACCCAATATATCATAAGTACAAAATTAGATAAGATATACGAAGACAAAAACATTCCCACCAATTATGTATATAAATACATGTATATGCATGATGTATACATTTATTATGTGATATATAATATATTTAGCATATGATAATTTATTATGAATAAAAAAATATTAAATAATAGATCTTATATGTAATAAAATATATATTGTGTTATAATATTGTAAATTAATTATAATTTAATATTTACATATAATATAATATAGATATGATATAATAATATAAAATATCTACTGCATAATAATTTAATAACATTATATTCTATATCAAAAATTATTTTGTCACAAAAAATCATTTACATTATTATTTAATATATTATATATTAAAGTATATTTTTATCAAATAAAAAATAATATACAATATTTAATTTATTCTATATTAAAAATATATATATATATATTTTTGATAAGTAAGAATTTTATAAAAAACACTCAAAAGGGGAGCGAATCCCATGGAAACAAAAGGCCGCAAAAAGCCTCAAGCCTTCAAAAAGGCCCAAAAAAATAACAATCTCCTCAACAGAATGAAAATCTCTCCCTGAGACCTAACAAAAAAAGAGTGGAAATAATAGAGAACTAAGCATAGAAATAGGTTTTTCCTTGCCATCGAAATATCTCCGATTCCTTTCGAGCCAAATGCACCACCAAATACACAGAGGGGTAGCCCTCCAAGCATCCCGGATGAGAGCCCCAACTGATAAACCTCTCCAAACCTCAATCAACCCTTTAGAGGAACAAGGCATAACCCAGGGGACCCCAAATAACCCAATCATCAAATCCCAACAATCTCTGGCCATACTACAATGCAACAAAAGGTGATCCACTGTCTCCTCATCGCATCGACACAAGTAACAGCGATTGATAACCACCTGATTTCTCCTTCTCAAATTATCCTGGGTTAAAATCCTACCCAAGACAGAAGTCCAAGCCAAGAAGGCCACCTTAAGGGGAGCCTTGGAGCGCCAAATAGCCTTCCAAATAATATGAATTTTATTTGAAATGAATAGTGCCTGTGCACTAATATTAGTGAAAACGTTTCTCTGCTACAGTGCCGAAAACATAAGAAACATCATTTTGATGTTTTCTCTTTTCTTCACAAAAATTGAAAATGTTTTCTGTTATAGAAAAACAAAAACATTTTATTGAACGCGATTATTTTTTTTGTTTTGCCTTTTTAGAGGTTGACAACAGAAAACAAGAAACGTTTCTCGTTACTAAACGCAGCCTAAGTAATCATTTTTGTTACTTCTTCTCCGTTTTCTCCAGGTAATGTTATTTCCTTCTTAAACAATTTATTTTGTTTTGCATACCAAATGAATAAACAAATAAAATAGCAAAAACAAAAAGAACAACAAATAAGCACATAAATCATATTAAAGAGTTATGAAGGAAACCTCGCTGATATCATCGTTTCCATAAATGCCATATTGAAAAGCCTGGCTTAGATTATTTGCTAGAGCTGCAACATCATAATCTCTATCTTGGTAGTCATCATCATCACTGTCCCTAGTCCGATCATGTAGTGTTGTTGGCCTCCTATTATATTTGATGAATCAATGATTAAATAACTGGGAAAATTTAAGCCAAAAACCTAAATCATTTAAGTAAATTAATATGACCATCGTCTTCCAATTTAAGAATTCAAGATATCCAAATCTAAAATTTTATATATATAAATATATATAAAACTATGTCTAATACGAAAGGAAACACATGCTAGATAGCTCAATGGCGATCATGTTCCAGCATCTTGAGTAAGTCTCAGGTTTAATTCTTACTCCATTCAAAGTTCAGGTTAACATATTAAGTGTTTTGAGTTGGGCTGTCACAAAGTCAACAGGTGGATGATGGCCAGGTGTGCCACCATACATAAAGCAATCTCATTATCAAATCACGGGTTAATGACAGATTCACTCAGAGTGGCAATCTCTGACGACTCAGCTCATAAGACAACCATGCGGTTTCCACTTGGAAAACTTAGCAGGAAACTCCAGTTGTAACCAAAAAAAAAAAAATTGTACGAAGAATCCAGTACTCCTAACACTAAAATTTGATTCCCCACATTGTGCTGCCATTGGTATAGCTTCAAATGCCAACATGTTTACGAACTCATAAAAATCGGGATGGAAGTTGTACTTGGGGAAAAACCCATTGTTGGTGATGGTATCGGATAATCAAGGGAAAAAAAGGGTTCCAGCAATTTAGTTACTAAAAGGCTTCCAGATATATATATATAATAAAAAATAAAAAAGGACATAATTGTCAAGTTAAAAAAAATAAATGTAAAATTTATCAAAAAGAAAAAAGAAGCATTGTATAAGCGCTTAATCCGGAACTGTGTACATGGTGGCACGATGTCATGCGAAGGTAAAAATGCTTCAGAAGAATTAGAACAGTAACAGATACACACTACTTTCACCACACACTTTTCAACTTAAATTCAACCTAGAAAGAAAAAATTGCAAACTGTGTAAAGATTGGGAATTTATTTCTGTCATGTTACAAAAAATACTTTGAACACAATTGACAACATAATATTTATAAAGCAACAAGCGTACTGTCCTATAAAACTTCTTCATTTTCTATGCACAACATAACAGTTACATTCAAAACACTACACATGCTGGTATGTCACGTCCTCCATACAGTATTCTAACGCAAACAAATGTTAAGGTGAAAGAAACAAGGCAACACAATTATAATTGAGGAGCACCTACCCACATGCCCACTGATAAACATTCTCGACTGCATTGCGCTTGAGTAGGACATCTGTATACCAATCTGTCCATTCAGTCTTATCCTGTCAGAAGAATAAACACATATAAAGGATCTTACAGTCTTACACGGACAATTGCAGAAATACTTCTAGAATTTGGATCCTTGTAGATTAGCATCACTACCATTAAGGTTTAGTGCTCTTTAAAATGATAAAAACATTTAAAAAATTAGATAGTAAGGAACACAACAGATATGGATAGTTACAGCCAGAGAGTTTCAGACACGGCATCATAAAATTTTGATATTTTTGCATCACTAGAAACATTTCAAATTTAATGATATATTCAGGGGCAACACAAAGAAGTATAAATTTTGGTTCTTCGTATGCTAAGATGACATGAATCATTAACTATAGAGAACAAAGGAGCATAATGTTTGCCTCTTGATATGCTAAATGATGACTTGGCTAATCAACTTTTTGAGAGTGGTTGTATGCTTAATTGGCTAATATTCTTTCATTTGAAATGGACAACATTGATTAAAAAATGCATACAAAAAATCAAAATCTATACACATTTATTAGTAAAGATCATTATATTAAAACTTATATTTTCAAGAAAAAATTTCTATAATAATTTTATATAGTTTTAAAAAAATTAATTATTACGCCCACCCACCAAGCCAATAATTTCTGGCTCTGCCCCTGAAAACCATGACCACCACCACTCCTGCAGCATACATAATACTTGTATATAATTTTTAAAAAGTTAATTATGTAGTACTGAAACCACCACCCCACCCCCCAAACAGAAAAAAAACAAAAATTTCTGGCTCTGGCAGCCCTGCAGCATAACATCAAAACAAACATTGTATACTTTTTGTTTAAATCCTTGTTGTACGCATGTGAGAGAATCTGCATGTGTATGTACCCTTTGAAAGGGAAAAAAATTTATTTAGTGGAAATGTCTTGTTTGGGCGTGACTTAAAACAATTGCGCATATATATATATCACAATTTGTATGTTTTTGAAGACAAATCGGACACCTGTGCATATGTTTTTCTTAAATCATGCGAACTTGTACACACGCTTCTACTTGTATTTTATGATTATATATATGAAATTATAAATTTATTGTTTGCCAACTCTGTGACCTAATATTTGAAAATAAAAGTGTCAATGAGTCTGTCCCCTAGTCCGCGTCGGTGTCATAACCGAATTCCATGTCAATGTTCCTTGGCATCTCAAAAGAAAAATACGCAATTGGACTTGCACACTTAACTGCATTTTCATTTTACAGGTTTGAACTTTGAAGAACCAAACAGTCTTCAATGCTGAGTTATCATGTTACATTGATCGACTCATTGGAGTTGTCAAGGAAGACAAATGAGAAGAATTAAGGAAAAACCTGCAGATGTGCTTGTATATCACGGTTGTTGTTCCCCAGTTGAATAAGTTTATTAGATATGCGTGCTATGTGTCCAATATTCCCTGTCCTGGGTGAGGATCTCCCCTCAGCAGGGACTGTTGGCTGCAAGATGCATTCAACAAATTAAGATTTTATCCTAATCATGGGTTACAGAAAGCAAATAAAAGCACATCAAAATAATGATGATAAAGATAGAAGAATCCCAAGACATAAGAAATAATAGATGAACTATGAATTATACAACTGGGAAGAGACTTGTCATCATAGATTAATTAACCATTACCTTGTTCGGATTAGCGGCCAATGTGAAATTCTTTTCTGCTTCAAGAATTTTCCCAACAAGATTACAGTCATGAAGAAGGTGTTCAATAAGCTGAACATTTTTTCTCTCCAAGCAAGATACAATTATGTGTTCTACATGGTGATGCAAAAAATTATTGTATGGGTACCTGAGTCGCATTAAACCCAAGTTAAGAAGCTAAGAATTCAACCAATTCAAAATAAACATATAAAATGAAGCAATACTCACGCAAAAAACAAGTCCAAAATACATTTAAGTGCTCCAAGTTGGATCAATTTTCTCTCAGCAGCTTCACTACTAACAGTCACCAACACTGAAATGAACTCTATAACCTGAAAATTCATACATTACAAACAGTCACTAACACTGAATTGAACTCTATGATCTGAAAATTTCCATGTTAGAACAGTCAATAACACTGAAATGAAGTTTACATTCCGGAAATTTCCATGTAAATAGAAAAATAAGCAGGCAAAGGTTCAGATTACCTAGTATTCTCTTATCAAAATTAAATCTGAACACAAACACATACAAATATGTATGTGTGTGTGTGTGTGTGTGTGTGTGTGTGTGTGTATAGAGAGAGAGAGAGAGTTGATATATTGTTTGCATACTTCGCTGGTAACCTAAAGATAATAGATCAACAAATGATTATTCTTTTCAAAGTGTTTATAAAGAATACCTTCAGACGATGTTTACCAAGAGGTGGCTGCAACTTTCCATATGTAGTTAGCAACACACTTTCCTCAGATGAAACATCCAAAAGTGTGAGTAAGTCACCTGTAAGATAAAAAAAATAAATAATAAATAAATAAATTGGTTTCTTATATCTATTAAGCAACAACAAAGATGCGAAATACATACACAACACGACACGAACACAGCAATGTGACAAATCAAATACAGATACGGCAATATATATGTATAAATCTCTTTTATTAGGCATGGGTAAAAATTAAAATAAACATGCATTTATGTATAAATTTGAGAAGGGTAAATTGAAAGAGGAAAAAAAAAACTCTATATAAAAAATGTGCACCAAACACCCCTGCAGTTAAGTATGTGTATGTAACCCCCGATGATTTCACGCAATTTTGTATAATGACCCCTTCGTCTTCTGACTGTTAAAAAGTAGCCTTCCCCCCCAACCCCCGGCGCGCTATATAAAAATGTGCGAGAACCCCCTCTGATGATTGAAAAATAACCATAACATTTGAAAATCGTTCAAATAAGGGCAATCCATTACCTTACCATTAGCGGAGCATAAAAATGATGAAAATACCCTTCCAAAAAAGGAAATGAGATACGAGAAAAGAAAGGAGGGAAAAAAAAAAGATTTATGGTGCAATATTTGCAATTCATATATTTAGAGACATTATAAAATTTAACCTATGGTGTAATAATTGCAATATTTTTAAATACCAACATTATATTGATATAACTTATTGCATTGAATAATATCTGTTATGCGCATCACATATTATCATGTATATACACAACAAAAAGGTCCGTATTTTGGAATTTCCATTAGTACTTTTCATAGATGCAGCTATTTTAACAGTCAGTAGACAAAGGGGGTCATTATGCAACATTACATGAAGCCATAGGGGGTTATCACTTTATTGCTCCATTACTGGTAAGGTAACAAGTTGTCTTCATGTGAACAATTTTCAAATGTGAAGGGTGTTTTTCAACTATCAGGGGAATTACTGCACAATTTTTATATAGCGGGAGGGTTTTTGAACATTATCCATTAAAAAATAATTATTTGTCATGTCGTAAAATTATTATTAACATTCCCTTGTTAAAAAAAATATATATGTGACAACCAACTTTAAAGTTATATTGCATAGACATAAGCTTTGAACTAATTTGAACATGATATATTCTCACTATATTTTACTATGATATCATACTTAGAGAAGTTCAATTTTGTGCTCCATTTGGTAGGAAGGATGCAAAATTGGATGGAAGAGATAGAAGGATGGATTGAAGGGTCTTCACTAGATAAGGTAGGGTGTTTGTCCTCCCCTCTCTTGTTTGGTTGAATTGAACAAAATCAAAGGGATAATATTATTATTTTTCCACTACTCCCTTAATTATCTAAATTAGTATACGCAAATGGGAGTAATAATACCATTCAATTTTATCAAACAAATTTTCTTCTCTCTTCTTCCTCCCAAACGGAAGCAAAATGGTGTGTCCAAAGGGATGCCTTTACCAACAATTGAAGCCTGCTATATTAGTCTTATCTTCCCTTCCTCCCCCTTTCTTCAAACCAAATGTAGGCTTAATGTTCAAGACCCATGTGTCTTAGAGTATATGAGAAGTATATATGTGGTCCAAGTCTTGAAAAGTATCGTATACATGTTTGGAATAGAAATAAAAAGAAAGGTCTTTTCATACTATGGATTCGTTCAGGAAGAATCATACACATCCCGTGAGTATAGATATCCGACACAGGTTCTCCCCTTATAGCAGTGTATGTGTGTCATAGTATGCAACGTACTATAGACACTTTTATTGTGCAAATTTCTCCACCATTCTGCTCAAATTAAGCTTGATTCATACTATCAGTGAATATGTTATCGAGTAGTGATGTCTCTCTATCTCTTTGAACCAAATCAAGGTGAGTTACACCATAAATAAGGGCCAACTTCAAGAGTCTCGGTCTATGCCACCAAGCCACATGCCCTTAAAAGTCTCTCTCCAAAGGCCCAATGGGCCCTGCCACGGCCTCATACCTCAAACTGGGTTATGACTAGTGAGCCATAAGCCCTTCTCTCTATCTCTAAACCAAGTCAAAGGGGAAGAGATGAGAAGATCCATTTGACCTAAGCCACATACCATCCAGAGGCCCGATGGACTGTGTCATGTCCACATACCAAAAATTAGGCCATTATGAGTAAATCACGTCCTTGGACTATGCCATATGGTATACCCCAAGGTCAACCATGACAAGGCAAGATCGAGCCGTGAACACCCCTCGAGTCTTGCTCCTAACAGAGATTGTTTACAACTTACTACCTTTATAGCCTTCAATATTTTAGGATATATCTATTCAAGGCGAGGCTAATTTGTCAGGGGAAAAGTCCACCCAACATAGACATCAATAACGAAGCTTATCCGAGGAAAACAAAGTCTTTATAATATATAATTAGACGCCTCATTGGACATAATGTGCGCATAGAGAAAATTATGAGTAAGTGGTCTGTCTGAAACCAAACCGTCATGGAGAAACTAAGGCCTGACCAATGTGGGAGACAAATCGTACAAACATTGGAAGGTTTCCTCCAGAAGGTGACTTTAGTACTCATTACTTCAAAATCAGCTGGTTTATCTGACCACCATAAGAGCTAAATTTTTGCAACTCAGCTGAGTTACCTCGTCTGGATCCACCTATGTTCACCGGTGAGGGACCGTGTTTGCAAAAGGTCATGCACACAATTTGTCATCATCAAAAGTACTACTAATCCATATAACAAGCCTATCCGACAAAAGCACAATACAACACACAATTGTATGCTATGTTCAAGAAAGATGAATCGCTTCCAAATCTACTGAATCTCTCCCTAGTATGATCATAAGGGCAATGATTTATTTCATGGGAAGGGTCCCTAGTTCAAGTCTAGGATAGCGCAGCTACACAAGGGCAAATCATGCATGTTCCACTTGGCTCAGGGAGATACAACTCAGTAAAGTGCAACAGCCAATGCAATTACCATGCTTACCAGCTCTTACCATTGTCACCTATAGTTATAGATGGGGTAGGCAAGGGCAGTTTGCTTCACTTCTCCTAGGCTACCTGCACATGTTATACATGAAGAAGAGGCAGCTTGGGGTTCTTCTCTTATTAAAGTTATAGGCAACCAGACTACGACCCCTTCTTACTCTTACACAGCAACTTCTTTTTTATTTGGTTACTATTTAGAATCCCATAAGAAGAGGCTCCTTATTGGGCTGCAAAAGAGTGAAAGACTATATATAACTATGCTACGGACCTCCATTGTTTAGTGGATTATCTCATAGAAGGGTAATGTCTATTTCTCTCTGTTGGCAGTAATAATAATAAAACAATTCTGTTTGCAGGAACAAAGAGAAGCACGGCTATTCCTACTAGATAAATACCAATAGGCAAAAGGGAGGGTTAAGACCTTTCACCACTAAGAAACGGATGAAGACTCCCATTTCTGAGTTTAACTCACACGTAATTCCCCTCTTAGGAGTTGTGAAGCATTGTCAAATCAAAATACCCAACAAATTTGAAAAAAAAAAAAAAAGATGGAGAGAGAGAGAGAAGATTAGGAAACTATCTTAAGCCTATTCAATGAAGTATAACAAAGACGTATTTTTCAATAGATCTCTGTCTATTCCATGGATCTACATGTCTATATACATCCTCTTCATGTACTAACGAAAATGTGTAAAAGCTCCATTTGCCCCTGCCATTCTATGGGTCTCTTCTTTTATATTTATGGCGTCACCACTCCCTAACAGCAATTGGTGTTTCGGTAGCAGATAGGTGCGTAACATATGATAATCTGCTCTTGCTTATCAAAATAATAATAATAACAATAATAACCTGCTCTTAGAAAGGGAACAACAGTTGCAAACAGCCGGCTAATTAACCGTAGACGTAGGGCCAGAGGGGAAAAGGAAGAATCTGCTCAAGGAGGGGCTCACTTTTAATTAGCTAGTTGGTGAAACAGTAGTTTACATATGCAATGATTAGTAGTTGGTCTGAGCCCCTATGGGAGGCAGCAGTGGGGAATATTCTGCAATGGATGGAAGCCTGGCGGAGCAATGCCTGATCCCCAGCTTAAACATTTCGCAAAATACTAATCTGTGATTTTTTCCTACTAACTTGTGATAGTCTCCTTGTTGGGGATCTTAGAGATGGGATAACTAATTATGCTTTGCCAATTGTAGCATACAGCATGTAATTAACCAAAACACAACCTTTTCTCCTGAATCCCATCTCCAATAGTGCAAAATCTATCATGAAACTGAGTTAAAAGACCATGCAGTAGTACCATACATAATAAAAGTACAAAAGAGAAAGAAGTCATACTGAAGTAACTGATAGATAAACTTTCTTGTAAAATCCCGGAGGAATATTGTACCTGTGCTCTCCAGCATGCCCTCCACCGTCTCGGGATTGGCTGCAACCGTAGATCCATAACTCAGTTGACGGCCGTATATATAATAGGTTCCAAAGGTTGGCCTCTTGGGGTCTAACAAAGATATGCATACAGACAATGAGTTAACCAAAACAGATTTTGGCCGGGAATCCTCCAGAGCATGACGGAATAATCTTCCAATAAAGCTGTGAAAGCACATGCGGGGAAAAAAAAAAAAAGGCATTAACAAATAGTAATAATATGATAAAATCAATTTGCAAGATTCTGACCAACATGAGAAGAAAAGAGGATGCTACCTTGGGCTGGATATTTTAGCAGCAAGTCCTGGGGGAGCACATCGAGTTATAGCACAAAGTGTTTCTGCTGTATTAGCATGCACTTCTGGAGAATCCTGTAATAGTCATGTAAAATAGATATTTACAGAATCTAAAGACAATATAGATAAATATGTTTTACACGAGCTTGAGGGGGAAAAAAGGGAAAATTTAAAAAATGATAACTTACGTTGGCTAGGTTACCAATATGACCGTTTCCAAATAATTACCAATATTGTAAATAAACTATGTTGGTCCAAAATGCCCTCTTTATATGTCCATTCTCTCTATATCACCCAACACCACCCGCCACTCCAACCTCCCACCACCATCACCACTACCCACTACCCACCATCACCAAGCCAAACAACACCACTGCGCTTCACCATTGCCATCTCCACCACCATTCCCACCACACCCCTCATCTAAACCCAAACCCAATGCTCCACCATCACCACCACCCATAACCCACCCTCATGCAAGGCCAACAGCACCACCACCGCCATGGCCAACGACATGACATTTCGGCGATCCAACTTCATGAACCATAACCCAGATCGCCCCCTCCCAAATGCCACAATAACAGTGAACAGAAACAGAATCCGTGAAATTACTCGAAATATTTTCCAAATAGGAAGCCTAATGACCAAAATAGCTTGTAAATTCAAACCAATCTCATTGAATTTCACTAAAAAAGACACTCCAATCACAGAAACACCACGACTCCAATCCTTGCCTTCATAAAATTGGAGGGTGATGGGTTTGTTTATAGCGTTTGTTGTTGGTGGGTTTGTTGAGGAGGGTAACGGGCGTCTGAATCTGAGGTGAGATTGAAGTGGGCGGCGATGGGGGCGATGGGTTGGGTTCTTTGGATCCATAGATGGAGATTGATTTTTCCCAATTTCATCAACTGAGTCGAGTTTCCACAAGTCAACTCACTCACCACTCGTGATCTCCTCTTTCCATGTCCGTCTCCTTCAAGAAAGAAGATCCCCACATAAAGGTGAACGGGAAAAGGCCGCTGAGTTCGAGTCCGGCCGTGTGCTCTGCCCGAATCTTCCAACTCACTCGCAAACTCGGCCACCGCATGGAGGGCGAAACCATGGACTGGCTCCTCCGCTACGTTCCTCTTCCTTCTTCCGCCACCACCACTGTCGGGCTTCAAGTCAACACCAACGCCAACAAAAGCACCATGGACGCCGACAATCACTGGTTTCCGGCACCACTCAGTTGCCGGTGAGTGGCGGTTGAGGTGTGGTGATGCGGCGGCAGCAGTGGTGGTGGGTGGTTAGAGTGGCTGAGGTGTGTAGTGGGGATTGGTTGGAGTGGCGGCAGCCGGTGGGTAGTGGGTGGTGGCGATGCTGGTGGGTGGTGGTGATGCTGGTGGGTGGTTAGAATGGCAAACAGGTGATAGTGGAGTGATTAGAGAGACAGTCCTCTAGGTGGTGGTGGTGGGTTATGGGTGGTTGGAGTGGTGTGGTGGTTTGGGGGGGGGGGGGGGGGGGAGGGGTTTGTGGTTGGTGATGGTGGAGATTGTTCAAGAATGGTTGAAAGTCAAATTGCATTATGTGAAGAGGTAATTTGGACTCAAACGTATAGGTATTTGACAAATACGAAATTACTATTGTAAAGTTGTCATATTTGTAGTACATTTTGTTAAAGTGGCACTTTTCATCCATTCTTTTTGGACATGGTCGTATTTGCAATGTATCCAAAATAAGTTGTCATTTATTAACTTTTCCCAAAAATAAAAGTGAAAAGCCAGATATGTACGCTGCCGAACAAGGTAGGAGAAGATGGCGCAAGAGAAAATCAACAAATAAATTTGAACTTGGCATATATTGTTTGCAGTAAGATTCTCTTACAATTGTAGTAATCAATTAAGGAGAAACGGTAAGATTGTTAAATTTTGTCACAAAGAACAAAGCCGAAAATTTTGATTAGCACGTGTTGCAGGATGAGGGTTTCAGGTGGATGCAACTTGTGCCCTAAATCAACAATTGAAACCTATCCTCCCCCCCCCCCCCCGCCCCTTCCCTTTTCCCCCACAACACCAACCCCCACCCAAAGAAAAAAGAAAGCAACTCAATTTAGATCCTTTCAATTGGCTTACAAAATCTAAATATGTTACAACTTACTGATGAGCTGAATTTGTCCACAATCATCTCCAACACATCTGTGTCCTCTAACCACTGCATTGAATCCGTGAAGTTGGAATACATATGTTCATCAGCACCAATCAAACGAATTAATACCTGTTCAAAAGAAATAGATTAGCAGGGGATAAATCCAGAAAGCAAAAAACACAGATGCCTATCTACAAACCTCCATGATGGATGTGATTCCAATAAGATCAACCAATTTCCTGATAATTTCCTGATGGGCCTAGTTGAGCAACAAATGGAGAAATCAGATTGAATACATTTAGATGTCAAAAAAGAAGAACTAAAAGGTAGTACAAACACCAAATTTTCCACCATCTAATTATGAAATGAATAACAACGGCAATGTAAAAATATTCAAGTACCGTACATTTACAATGTCTTTTTCATCTTTTAACCAGTAAGCCACCAGAATGTCAAAAGCAACATGAGAGAGAGAGAGAGAGAGAGAGAGAGAGATTGGGTGGGGTGCAAGATGTGTAAAGAATTTTAAAAGTCAACAACTTGTACTACACCTGTCGTGATTACACACAGTGAAAAGATTATAAAAAAAATAAATAAATAAAATAAAGGAAAAAGGAACGGAAAAAAATAATAATGATAAAAAAAGACGAAAAGGAGAGAGGGACCATCAAGTCTTAAAAAAAAAATGAGATCAAGGGTATGAAGTCAAAAAAGCTTAAGTCATCTGAACGATGCTACTTAAAAATAAAAAAATAAAACAAAATTCAGATTTCTAAAATCAAGAAATTATACTTGCACACATAGAGGTACACCCAGATCTATAGCACCACAATCATCCAAACGGTCATAACATAAGCTGAAATTTTCATCTATTAATTAAAAACATCCTTGACTTACTTGAATATAATTCATAAAAGGAACTGTCTTCCGCAACAACAGGCATATGACAACCTAGCAAAAAGAAGTCAGAGCAACATTAATACCTTCACGAAACGAAAAGATATAGAAAGCCTGAAAACTTTCTTCATTTCAGAAGGGACAGGAGAATGCCATTAGTGAAGTCAGACACAAACATTGAGAGCAAGAAAAAAGATACCTTGCTGAAGTAACCAGCCAGCATTGTGCTATGAGAGTGTTTGAGTTCCAAGAAGGAGAACAACAAGTTCATTAACTGTCAACCAGAAATGAACAACCAACTTACATAACCATATTGGTCAAATTAAAAAGCAAAATTTCTTCATTTCTTATACAGAAGAGAGATAGTATTGTGAAAGTGAAGAAAGAAATGAACTCTAATAACTTCTCACCTCCTCATCCTCTACTAATGCTTTAAGGATGATATCGACTTCACAAGTAAAAATTTCACAAGCAATAAAAGGAAACCTACAAGCACAATCAAATGGCAAAAAAGTCACTAGTACATCCAGGTATACATGAGAACATCCATCACATAAAGAGTATCTGGAAACAACATTTACATGTTCATCCATAGACACCTACTTAAAAGTTCGCGTCTTTTCAGCATCCTCGGGAGCTGCTTCTACTATATATTGTAGAAGATGTTCAACCTGTGTTCTTTCTCGCAAGCTGCAATATTGACAATGCAAAGAAAGACAGAATTAGACTTCAAAATAATTTGGTGCTTAAGTATGCAATAACCAAAAACCTGTTTTAGGTCCACAAAATTCATTCAAAATATAATAATAATAATAAATAAATAAATAAATAAAAATAAAAAAATAAAAAACCTGCAAGAATAATCTATAAACCAAATTTAGTGCATGAAGATTAAAGGGTTAAAAGAAAAGGAAGGAAAAAGAGGAAAAATCAGCTCAGGTTTGATTTACAAATGAGGAGAGAAAGGAAAGCAAAATGAGAGAAGAGCGTTTGTTAACCACTCAAAAAAAGTTATTATGCTATATTTCCAAAAGTGAGAGGATTTGAAAGGAAAGGAATATATTGTTTCAAATTTTTTTTTTAATAATAAGTGAATTCCCCTTTTACTAACATCATAAAACATTCCTTTATTTTCTGTGCACTAGCTTTTCTAAACACGATAAAGTTACCGCTGTTTCCTTTCTTAGAGAAGGGGTTACCACTATCCTTTCCTACCCGTTATTTTCTTTCCTAAAAAATGCCTTCATTTCCTTCCTTTTCCTCCTGATTATCTAAACGCATCAAATACCGAGTGAATGTTGCAAAGCAATATAAATATATGCATATATATCAAATTGCATTGCAGATCTTTCACATCACTACGCCAGTTCACATCAAAAACAATTAAGGCCCAAAGGGTATCAAATCAAAGCTATCAAGGTTTCAAGCCAACATGTTTCAAGCATAAAAAGCTAATAACTAGTAATGCATTTAAGTAATTGAGGAGCACTTAAACAGCATGCCATACAGAAATCCATCAACTACAAATTTGTATTCTTGACTAAAAGCGACTTCTTAACAGGGCCCTAACCTAAGGTGGGCATAACTATAGTTGAACCTGACATTAAGACACCCAACAAAAGTAATGGCAATACTTGATAGAAGAGTCATTACCCAATGTGATCCTCGTTAATCAATGGGTGCTATACAAACCTAACCTTTGGCATCATTAAAAAAAGTGACTGCTCTCAGGACTAAAAAACCCGCTTTCTAACACTCAACAGCCCAAGCATTTCTCCACTGCACCAGGCAACGGGCCCTGGCAATACTTCATAACAAGATAATATATATGACAAAAAAATCTCAACAACTTGTACTGTAATCAGCTTTTCAAACCTTGAAAAGCTTCACTTCCAAGCCCCTTTCTAACACTCAACAGCCCAAGCATTTCTCCACTGCACCAGGCAACGGGCCCTGGCAATACTTCATAACAAGATAATATATATGACAAAGAAATCTCAAAACCTTGTACTGTGATCAGCTTTTCAAAACTTGTCAAGCTTCACTTCCAAGCCCCCTTTCCTAGGTAAGTCATAACTCTTTCCTCAATGGTCTGCGTCAGAGCAATTTCTCAAGTCCACAATTTCTCAAGTCCACAAAGAAATATATTCTGCAGGTAGCTCCACCAAGTTAACCATTTAAATTTGGCTTCGTTAATTGTTCCTTTCCTTTTTAACTTAATTTTCAATAGCACAGCCACATAGTTTATAAGTTACTCTAGACCACATACTGCTTTATAGCTGACAATGAAAACACTATTTAAAGCGACCCAATTTCGATGCTAAAAACTTCTTCTAGGATTCATATGAAAATGACTGCATCCTCACTAATGAGGTGGTTAAAAATATGTAGTGGATGGTCTAGAAATAATCTATTTTGTGAAAAAAATGGAGTTAATTTAGTAAAGCTCAATAAATCTAGTTTTCATACAGGAGCTAGCGCCCAAATCACACATGGTTTTTCAATAAATCAAATCTGGTTCTTCTTTTGAATGATAAAACAGTAACTTTTAAATGCCTGTAATTAATAATTACATCAAGTAGGAATAGGAATGAAGCATGCCACCGTTAGCTGCACATTCACAGTATCAATATGGAATGACATGAAAACAGTCAAAACTCTCAATTATGATTTCTGCATTCATTACGTTTCTTACTTAGAAAGTGAGACATGGACCTTCATGAATTACGACAGATAACCCATTCCATAACCCTGATGGCAGCATGTATCAGAAAGATGATCACGTAAAGAATTACATTATGTCTGGTGAATTAAAAATCAACAACACCTTCTCATAAAATATCAATGACCCGGACAGAGGGTTTTCCTACTTTCCATTAATGATAAAACAGTTTATTTCTACATATCTACACTACAAATATCGAATGAGGAAAAGATAAATAAATAAAACTCAAGTAGATTGTTGGGGGCGTAGGTTCATTGAGACTTGTTTACTGCTTAACAAGTTATAAATGGGACCGTAACAATTGTGCCACATGTCAACCCTTCCGACTCCTTGACAACGGCATTTGACGTGCACATGACCACATAAGAAATACATTGTGCCTTTAAAGTACATGTAATGGCCCTAGTATGAGACCCATATCACATCTCCAGTCATAATTCTGGCTAAAGCTAATCCCATTTATGACACTTAACTAATCCCATTTGTAACGCTTGACTGAGTCAAAAGAAGTACTCAGGGTCCTGCTTAATCTTGGGTAAGATTACGGTGCAATTCTTGAAATTGTGGCAGTAATCCTGCAACTGCAGCGTCCCCCTATCTCCAATGCATTGTGATCCAAACAATTACAATGTGAGTCTTGGCATTGCATTGTTCTTTAAAATGCAATTTACCCCTTCAGTGGCTAGTTTAATTTTTTCACTTGGCCTTATAGTCCCACAACTATGATGTACTCATTTCAGCAGTGTGTTGTAATCTCAACACTGTGATGTGGTTCTTGAAATTTTGTTGTCGTCCCTGCAATTACAGCTTAAGCACACAACACACTATGACCCTAATGCTCACCGGACAGTCTACATGCTACATTGTGATCTCTGTGATTATGGTGTGGCCATTAGGTGTGACATCATAATCCCATTTGGGATACAATGATTTTTTAGGCTTAGTGGCTTAAATCAAGTTGAGGCTTGATCCGAGTTGGTGATGTTGTTTTCTTCAACATAAATAACAGGCGAGATACACACGCAACTAGTCTTGCGAAGTTCATCTTGTCCAAGTCAACTGGGGTATGGACTGTGATGCTTCGAATTCATTTGTCGAGTTAATCCTAACAGACGTGATAGAAAACCAATAATTCTTGTCATTCTTCAAGTACAACAACAAAGAGAGAACAAGTCAATTACAGCAAGTATTCTTCTCCTATTAATAGCCTCATCTCTAGTCTCTCTTCAACAACATGCCTTAACTTACTCACATCCAATACCTCCCAAATATCTATTTATCATATTGTGAGAGTTACTTCTAATTTTTCACAAACCACCTACAATATCAACAAATAAGCACCAACAAAGCAGTAGCTTATGTCATCAATCATCACATACAGTCTTGCTTATCACAGAGTCAAGCCATGGAACCATCCTTGAAGAGTGATGTGCAATCCCTAGAAACCATTCATTGTCTAAATCGAGAGAAAAAGAACGAGACAAATATATATATATATATATAAAAGGAGGGGTTGAGGGGGAGAAAGTGGAAAGGGGGCTTTGTATTTTAACATTGCAATTTTTAGCATATAACTGAAATGGAGAATTACAAATTGATAAGGCGGCTATTAAGGCCTTTGCATTCTTGAATTATTTCATCCTCATCAAGAAGCTCCTCTAATGTAAAGTTTTCTTTATCCAGAATCGTCTCTACCTGAAATGAACACAAGCAAAAAATATATATATCATGGATGAATCTAACTCGAATTGTTAAGTTGTTCATACTAAAATTAAATTTGAATTTAGCATAATTTAAAATGATAACAAAAAACAACAGTGATTCCTGGAAATGCATAGGTCTTGTAGATTTATAGGTCTGATACTATAGATCTTGTGGATTTAGGTGAAATCGTCTTAGATGTACGTCTATAAATATAGACATGCATTATCTTTTCTTTTTTAATTTCATAATTTCTCACAAGGAATGCAAACAAACTACTTCAAATGTCAATGAAATATCTATGGTATGTTTAACTAAAAAAATGACAATAATGACACTAAGAACAATGTTGGAGTTGATAACAAAAGCATTTTTTTATCAATTTAGCTTACTTTGCACCGTATATGTATTTTTCAATTGTAATGAAAATTATTACCAAACTACTATGTAATGTTAGAGACCAATTTGGCAGAATACTTATTGATCTTTTAGATAATTTCCTATGTTACAAGGTCCTCTTCTTTTGATCCATTTTGCCATATTTATTTTTCCTTTCTATAGTTGTTGTAAACAATCTCATGGCATTCTTTCCAGGTATGGATCCAATACATAGCAACTGGGTCATCTCAATACCCTCCACATTAGTGATTAGTGACCGATGGGAGACTTTGAAACTTGTCCGGAATAAAAGCCTCCGTACTTCTGTATATGCAGCCCCTTTCAGCTAAAGTACTACCCTCCTCACAATCAATTCATTATTACTAACTTGCCAAAACCCAAAACCATATATACATCTTCATTTCAGTACAATCCCTGCTTAAAACAGATGCAGAGAGAAAAACAATTTTCCAGTAATAATGTTGCAAGTCGGAGCTCTTTGGGTACACTTTGTACACCTATTACTAAAGCAATTGCATAGCAAGCTATAAAGAAAATTCAAGCACTTCACGTTCTTTTCAATATTCACAAAACAAATAGATCTAAAAAGAGACTCAGAGTCAGTTCAAGAAAAGCGATAACTTACAGGAGACACAGTGGACAAACCGGTCATATGCCAGAACATCTTGAGTTGAGAAACGAAATCGCCTGGAGCGAATCGTGAAGCCTCAGCAACAGCCCTCTGTTAGTCCGCGGAAAGACTCCGAAGATCTGCTATACCAAACCCTAGAATTCCATACGCGGATTGAAATGATAAGAAAAATTTGTTGTCGTTGAATTTGATGAATAAATGGGGAAGAATCGGCGTAACGAACAAACCTGTATTTGAAAGGATCCGATTTGAAATCGATCGATTCGAGGGTTATAGAAAATAACGAAAACCAAAATGCCCCCACTCGTGGGTTGGTGGGGGGTGTTTAGGGTTAAAATAATGCCATCTTACGACATAAATTTGTAAAGCATGTGCAAAATATTTGGTTTGCATTGGAGTAATACGTTAATGTTAGTGAATAGTAAACAAATATTTGCTTTCGGTAAAAAATGAGTATGGGATTTGGAATGACTTGGCAGTTTGACAACGCATGTATTTTCAAAAATTATACTACCGAGGTTTGTTAAAGAATACTCAAAGGAAAGTTTATCTATTTTAGATAAAGGTGTAATTTTGGTTGGGTAACCCGAGTCAGTCCGATTTTTTATGAACTTGGATAATTATTTTTATAATTAGGATTGGGCTTGGATTGAAAAATCTCAGTATGAATTTAATTAGGGTTGGGTTTGGGTTGAAGTGCTAGCAACCGAATCCGAATTCTAATATTATTTTCATATATATTTTTACTTTTAAATACATTATATATAATATTTAAATTATGATTATTTTTTTTCTTTTTAACTTTTTTTGTTAAATCTTAACTTATTGTATATTAACATTTAAGATAATTAATTTTCTAAAAATTTGTATGAAATTCATTAAAATTCTACAAAACAATCTTTAAACTTTTTCTTGTTTAAGAGTAATTTAACCTAAAACTAATTCGAGATCATATTAAAATTTTGGGATAAGGATTTGCCAAATGAGTAATTCGAATTAACCCGAAATTTTTACCCGGAATCTAAGCCCGAGTTGCAAGCCCGAATTTAAAAATAAAATAATGGGTTGGGCTTGGGTTGAGTAGTTAAAGTCGAGGATATGGTTAGGGTTGGGCTTGGGTTTACCATTTCATATGGTGGATTGGGCTCAAGTTATATTTCAAACCCGCCCGAGTTGCAACCTTAATTTTGGGACAATGACACCCCTGAAGTTTGATATATCTACCAAAGACACCCCAATTGTAATAAATTGACATTTTTACCCTTTAGCTTTTATATTGACTAATTTAAATACTGAAACGACATTTCTAACCTCATACCCATAACAAATTATTTCCTTTTCTTTTATCTTCCTCAACCCCCAACATCAACACACATTATCACACGTATACACACACACATAAAAAATTAAAGTGGAGTATTTAAATATTGATAGGGCACAATCATAACTAATGTCCTAATACATCCAACGTACAACCAAAATTTATATTTTGTAGATATAATTTTTCTAGTCTCACAGAATTTGATAAACGCTGCGGATAGGAGGGATTGGACATAAACATTGAAAAATTTAAAACCAAAGCCAGAAAAATTACATCTATAAAAATAATGAAATTTTCAAAACAACTTGCATCATCAAATCAACCCACCAAGTTATTTGGAGAATTTAATAACACGAGATGGATTATGAGGAAACTAAAACATGTTTGTTGTTTTTATACATTCTTTTTATAACTAATGGGTTTTTTTCCTTTACTTTTTTCCTTTTTCCTTTTTTATTCATAATCAATTTACGCAAGTCCTTTTTGTTTGTTTTTCTTGTTTTGTTATACAATTCACACAAGTGTTTTTTACGTAAATATTCACTCAAGTTTGTTGTTTATATATAGCGTGTTTATATTTTTACTATATGGAAAGATTAAAAAAGCAGAGAAAAAAAATGGTTGAAGGGTAATTTTGTTTCAAAAAATTATATTTTTAGAGTGCATAAATAAGTGTAATTAATGTGTTTAAAATTAAATAGTATAATTGGTTGAATCATAAATTATAGGAGTAATAATTAATCACTCAGTAATGATATTAAATTATTATTTAAATTATTACACTTACACTTGATAATCACTTGGTAATGATATTAAATTATTATTTGATGATGCAAGTTGTTTTGAAATTTCTATTGTTTTTATAGATGTATTTTTTCTGGCTTTGGTTTTAAATTTTTCAATGTTTATGTCAAATCCCTCCTATTCACAGTGTTTGTCAAATTCTGTGTGATTAGAAAAATTATATTTACAAAATATGGATTTTGGTTGTTGGATGCATTGGGACATTTGTTATGATTGTGCCCTGGCAATATTTAAATACTCCACTTTCATTTTTTATGTGTGTGTGTATGTGTGACAGTATGTGTTGGTGTTGGGGGCTGACGAAAGAGAAAACAAAGAGGAGAGAAGGAAATAAATTGTTATAGGTATGAGGTTAAAAAGGTTATTTCAGCATTTAAATTAGTCAATATAAAAGTCAAATGGTAAAAATGTCAATTTATTACCATTGGGGTGTCTTTGGTAAGTGTATCAAACTTCAGGGGCATCATTGTCCCAAAATAGGCAAACTTTCCTCTCAGTGTCCTTTTGGCAAACCTCAGGGGGTGTTATTGTACTTTACCCAAAATTACATTAACCTCGGTCAATGATGTTTATTTAACGAGATTTACAATTGATAAAATATTTTCAGATAAATTCAATATCTATCTATCTACTAGTAAAATAAATATGTGTTACAAAATTAGAATAAGGATATGAGTTTCAATGTTATTACTGTAAAGCTTGTTGCTATAAAATTTTTTATTATTACGATAATTTATAATTACCAAAACTACTCACACATATTAAAAAAAATTACCTATCCATCTGGAGTTGGAACCCCTCACCTCGTATTATTTGAATTTGGTTAACCATATTAGTTATCTGTCATTCTGATTATAATATTTATTCCCTCTCTCAGTTTTTTTTGCTAAGATGCAAATAATTTTACATTGCAAATATCATTGGCTAGTCATGCGACTCATGCTTGGCCAACAATGTAATTTTCGTATACCATGGTATAGTTGTTTATCACTTGGCAATAATTAATATAGGTGTTGGCGCTAAAATCATCTTGCTTAACCAATTCTAAATTGATCTGTTGCGGGTGTGCCAAAACCAACAATGTGATTCGAGTGTAAATTGTCAACTAAAGTCTCTTTGAGAATGTTGATTTTCAGGTGATGCAAAGAGAAATAGAATAATAAAACTCCTCTTATAAGTTCAGGATTGCCTTAATTAAAATGACCTTAACAGTGAATAGTATAGTAACAATTTGATAATAGAAATGGGAGAAAATATAAATATAGAAGGTTATAGAGATAATAGAGATAGATAAAGAGATAAATAGAACGAGATAGAGAGAATGAGATATAGAGGGAAAGAGATAGAAATAGCAAGGTTGGTATGTGGGGGAAGAGCTTAAGAAAGCAATAACAATAAAATAAAGAATACGAAGGTGCTTGCCTTTTAGTACAACCAGCCTCTTTGTTTATTTATAGAATAATTCGTAAAATAAATACATATAAACAAGCATCCTAATTACATTACAACTTTATCGCATAACTAAATGTAATTTCAAACTATACTAATCCTATAGATAAACATAATTATGCAACTGAGACTAACTAAAAGATAAGTCCTAAAATAATTATCTTTATCCACTACTTAATTCAAATATTCTTCCCATCTTTGCATGCAATTTGAATTCCGTGTAAAGCATACAACTCCCTCTAGTCAGCATATATTCACATCATCAGCCCATATACAAAGCCGAATCTTCCATTACAGCCCAAGCCATTACCACGTCATTGTATTTTAAGCCCACTGTTTAATTTATGCAAAGTAGTAATACTCTTCAACTCAACTCAGTTTCCGCGCCCCTTCAGCCTAACTATTGTCCAAGCCCAATTACCAAAATGGATGTCAACAATCGGTAAAATCACAAAACTCTCATGCACAGTTAAAAAAATGCATATTACTCACAAAATAATCAGATAATCTCTATAATTAACAAAATTTATCATACTATCAATAACGGGTGGGCGCTTGCTCATTTACCCAAAAGATCAAGTTATTAGGCAGTTGATGAGCGCTGAATATTGTATATTCAAGCCCCTAAAAATATGTATGTTAAGGCCTAAAATGATACTTTTATCCATTGTTAGACTGATTTATATTTATTGTGTGTTTATAGGTACTTTTCCAGATAAATGGTTAAAACCGGAACCTCATGATGAAAAGACTGATATCGAAGCTTACAAAGTCGTTGCCGGTCATTCAAAGCAAGCCGATAGCTTAAACGGTGAAGTTTGGAAGAATGCAAGTCCCAAAGCTCGAGCTTAAGTCCTGAAGCTCGAGCTCTGCAAAAAAAAAAGAAGAAAATCAACAAAGGCATTAAAGCTCGAGCCTGGTACCTTCAGAGCTCGAGCCCTAGCCAATGGTGCTCGAGCCTTACCTTAGGATGCTCGAGCCTTGACCCTCAAGCTCGAACATGAGGCGTCGGAATTTGAACAGTTGATTTAAATGAAGAACCAAGCTTCCAAGGGCTCGTGCCAGACCTCAAGGATCGAACAACATCATTTAAAGCTCGAGCCTTGAGTACCAAAAGCTTGAGCCCTATGAAGTTGAGCTCGAACAATGTTAAAAATAAGAAATCCCAAAATATTCTAAGTGTTGAAGGAAAAGACGGTTCAGAAAATAGTTGAAGAAATTTGACTTAGCACAAAATTAAAGCTCGAACACCATATTTTGAAGCTCGAACAATACTTCAAGAAAACTCAAGCTTCACTCCTAAAGCTCAAGCTTCACTTCTTAAGCTCAAGCCCTTCCATGACAAATCATATTTAAAGTTACAGGATTATTCTTTTCCAAGTCTTAACACTCCAGATGGGCCAGAAGACCTAAAAACCAACATGATCCTTATTTTATTATATAAAATAACGCATAAGCCTTGATAGAAGGAGGGCCAAGTTCCAAGCTCCTTGTTCTCGTATTATTCAGAAGGCTTTTATTGTGGTGGCGGCTTTTAGGGTTTCCATAACCTTAAAAGGTGAAGATCTGGAGAAGAGAAGTGCAGTCCGTAATGACGAAGACAACAACAATGCAAATGATATTATGCGTCGTCGTGAGTAGCTAATTCATCTCTTAGAGCACTGACGTAACCCATCTGATTACCATAGTTTGATTGTTTTAACTCTGGGATAATTTTAATATATACTATATTTCTTGATTACATGATTACGAGCAATTGAAACAACTCAATTGGTTCTTTACAGCGTTAAT